ATCACAGCAGGAGCCGCTGCTGCCAGGAAGCACCCTGCTAGGATGAGGGTGCCTGATGTCCTGTTCTGTACCCAGGACGAGACTGGGCTTGTTCTGTCTGTATCGCACTGGTACCCGAGTCTGTTTGGACATCAGGAGTGATGGCCTGTCTCCACATCTGGAGATGAGATGGGAAGGAGGAATTCCTGAGTCTGGGCTCTGGCCTCACTTAGAGAAAACCTGTTGGCCTGGTGAGTTTACGTAACTTCTCCACTTCACAGGCTGACCCCATACCTGGCCAGGAGTCAGCAGTTCCACATGAGGGCTGTGGGGCTCCCGATGGAGAGGTGGTAACCCTGTGTACTGAGTGTCTCTCGTGCCCTGTCATCAGGCTCTGTGCATATATCGTCCCCACGCCATCAGAGAATCTGTGCTATTTGCGTGTGTTTTTATTTTATTTTTTTGAAAAGGGTCAGTGATTTTATTTCTTGAGGAGGTCTGTGATGGAGAAAAAAGAATCCAACAACCCCCAGGGGGTGGGGTCGAAGGAGTGAGACAAGCCTGACTAGGCTGTCAGCCAAGAAAAGGCAGAAGGGCAGGGACCACGGCGGTCGCGCCAGCTTTAAGAGCTTGGCACAGAGCTGGGCAGCAGTAGGCGCTCAATAAATGGTTGTTGAATAATGCATTGTATTATATTTTGGTAGCAGTTCTATAAAGTACGTACTGGTTTGTGCATTTGACAGAGATGAGAAAACAGACTCAGAGAGGTTAAATAACTTGCCTGTGGCCACACAGCTGGAACACGGCAGAGCTGTGATTCAGCCCTTAGTGTGCCCAAACCATGTCCACATGCCTTCCCAGGGCCAACACAGGGGGAGCAGTGGTAGGCGTATGTGTCTTCTTGCTCTCACCCTTCAACATAGTCACTTTTAGATGCTTTATATTTGTTTGGTTTTTTTGTTGTTACATTTTTAACCTAAAAAAAATTGTTTTTAAATTTCATTTTAATTTCAGAATTACAGAAAAGTTAGCAAGAAGGGTTGAAACAATTCTCAGACCCTTTGCCCAGATCTGGCAGGTGGGTTCCCAGACGGTCTTGCTGGGTGAGCCACTTGAACACCGGACGGGGCCACACTCTGTTAGCACAGCCCCGGCCGCTGCATGAGGATCCTGGTGTCCGAGGTTGGGCGTGTCCCTTACCAGGACGTTCACTAGTGGAAAACAGCGATGGGACCCCACCCAGGAACTGAAGCTGACCCGGGGGAAGTCCTCGGGGGCTTGCTGGAAAACTCAGAGAAGAGTCTAGGGTGTATCATTCTGGGGAGAAGAACTCTCCTGCTGAGGAGCTGGAGGGTTTGGGAAATGCCAAAGAAAAGTGGGTTATAAAGGATGACCTGTCACTTAGCATCTCAGGCGTGGCATCGTCCTCTCCCAGCCACCAAGAACAATGGCCGGAAGCATCAGCGAGGCATTCAGACGGCTGCGCCCTGTGTTTCCTGCCCTCTCCCACAGTTAGACAGCCTTATTTACACTCGGGCTCACTTGCTCCACGCCCTCCACACCGGGTTTCAACCCTCTTCTTGCTTTCACCCTTTGTACCCACTGTCCCTACTTCCTCCTGCCAAGACGGCTGTATTCCCAAAGGCGTTGCATTTGGAGGAAGGGGCGGGCGGGGATTCTCGCCTCTGTGAGAGGAAAGGGGGTCTCTTTTAAAGGGGGAAGCAATTTGGAGCTTTTCCATATCGGATTTACTCCATTTCTGACCCTAAAAGAAACTGGTGTCCTCTACCCCAGGGCCCGAGCTTGTGACTTCTGTGTCTTTGCCCTGCTCCCAGCCCCTCCACTCGGATAGAGCGTGCTTGCTTGGTCGTCGTTTTGGAAGCCTTTTTTTTGGACATTGCTCACTCAGGCTCAACCTGTGCTGGACAGACACCCCTGTGCTCAGGCAGGCATCTGGTCCACAGCAGACGCTCAGCAAATATTTGCTCAGAGAGCAGCCCCTGGTCTGTGGCCTTGTTCTATGATTACTCCATCGGTTGACATAAAAATATGAGATCACGTGAGAGAGTACATCTATAAAGTACTCATCACAAGATGAAAAATTGTATCTGTGAGGTGATGGGTGTTAACTTACTGTGGTGATCATTTCGCAATAGATACGTATATCAAGTTGTTAAGTTGTGAACCTGAAGTGAATACCATGTTAATGTGTCACTTATAGCTCAATAACAAAAACTACAGGATCCCGCCCTTTAGGTTTTAGCTGCTTCTCTGGGCTTTGCCTTCCGTTTGATCTTTTGTTAATGATGTGTTCAGCTTGGAAGGGATCCACTCTTTTCTATTATTGCTCCCTACAGGTGCCTGGGTTTTTCTTCTCTCAGCAGGCAGGATGATTGTTACCCAAGTATGTCTCAGTTACCCACATGGGGAGGATCCAGGGAAAGCTTTTTCCAGACTGGCTTGCTCCTTTGATGTTCTGCAAGCTCTGGGGAACGCTCCCTCTGGCCTGAGGACGTGTCGGGCCTGAGGATGGGTGCTGGATGCTAAGTCCAGCAGCGTCAGCAAAACCTGTCATTAAGAACTGACCGAACTGACTTGATCCTGCCCTTAGCTCTCAGTGGCCCCCTCCAGCCCCTGTCCTTCCGTTGTACTTGGAGGTCTCCCTTCTCCTGTGAGCTGTGAGCGCCGAGGGGGTAGATGTGCTGAGGTGGCCACGTGCTTAGCTATTGTGTGTGGTTTCAATGGTGAGCCTTTGGTTTCCCTGATGCCCAAATGGGACCGCCTTGCCCCAGGGCTCACACCCGTGAGAGCAGCCGCAGGTCTTTGCAGACAGATCCTCTTGGGCCGGGAAGCACCTTCGAGAGCATCTGCTCTAGTCTCTTTATTTGATGGGAAGTGAGGGAGCAGGCTCAGAAAGGTGAGTAAGCCGGCCGCGGGGTCAGTTGGCCACAGGCTCAGGTCGGGAGCCGGGTCTTGCTGGGATGGGGGCAGCCCGCTCTGGCCCTGCCATCGTCGCATCCCACACCTACAAGATGGAAAGCCGCCTCTTGTACCCTTTGCACTGTGTGCTCAGAAGGGGCTTTGCACACACAGTTCACGCTGAAAAACAAGCGCTGAGACGGACTCGCTCACTTTCCACAGCGATGGCCCGTGGTGGCTGGTGGTGGATCAGAAGGACCAGCATAAGCAGGGGCATGTGGCTGTTGTAGGTGTTAGATTGTCTTGGAAATAGTCCTCGAAGCCTCTGCAAAGTTATTTTAATCTATAGCTTTTTTTCTTCCTAACCGGTGACACCAAAAATAAGATTGCACTGGGGTTTGGCACTGGCAGATAGAATGCTCCAGGGGACTCTGTGGCCGGCTGCTGACCCTGAGAATGAACTGCTGTCTTGTGCTGTGTTTCTCAGTATCGCCCAACACTGACCATCAGGCTACACCAGGACGGTACTGAAATTGAAGTTATGTGGGTAATTTGTAGCCAGCACGTCCTCCTCAGCGTCTGAAATCAAAGAACTGGAGACCTGGATGGATCAGAGCCGTGGTGTCCTCTTATGGTGTCCCTGCCAGTTCTCTCGTAGCCCTCCTGTGTGTGAGTGACACTGGCTCACAGTGAGTAGATGGGAACCAGTGAATGTCTACTTGGAGAGTGTCCCGCCGTGAGGATGGGGTGATGTATATGGCTGGAAAAGAGGCCCCTTTTCAAAGGTTTGATTTTGGGGGGTAAGCCATCTGATTTTAAATGTTCTTCCTCTCTTTGTCTTGAAGATTGTTGGGACCCTTCATCTTTTCTGAGTTGCTACTCAGGTTTGAATCTGATTATGCCGCCATTCTTCAAGTTTTCAAACACCCACACGGGAACACTGGGGACCTGTTTGGTTGAGTGGAAACACATAGACGACCTGGATCAAAACTAAGCTTGGTCTCTTCACTAGTTGGGTTGCCACTTGACCTCTGTAAATTTCAGTGTCACTGTCTGTAACGTGGGGATGCTAACTAGATCATCGTTGGGAGATCAAATGGGGACACCGTGGGGACACCCATGTGGAAGTACTTAGTGGTTTCAGTAAATGGTTGGAGTTACTTTGGGATCAGGCTTCCAGTAAGTTCCATCACTTCCACAGGACCATTAATTTCTCCTGGCAGGTTAATTTCCTTCTTAGAACTTGATCTTACGTGGAAACTGGAGTAATAACACCCACTGGGTTAGATCGTTGTGAGAAGGAATGCGATGCAAGTCAGGTTCCTTATATATATGCTTGGCTTCGTGGGCTCACAAGGCGCTGACGTTTGGTCATTTGTCGTCACATATTTGTCGCATGGTGTCGTGCACTGGTTGAGCTCTTTGGACAATAAACCCATAGTGAATTTTCACAGGGGTAGGAGGGTTTAACTAATATCGTCCCCTCCAGAGGGTGGTGAGGCAGGGGTGGGGTGAGGCTGGAGGGGTGGAGTGAGAGTGGCTGGGGAGGGGAAGTCTGGCTATTTGTATCTTGACATGAGGCTTTGTTTGGAAGGTAAATTACCCTCTGCTAGTCTAATTTGGCAGGTCACTGATTTGTGCCAGTTAAACATTTCTTAACTACCATATGTTTTGCTGATAAATACTGTAAAGCTATAAAGATCATGAAGTTCATAGAATTTGCTAAATAGAAACTTTTCGTCTGTCTTTAAATATGGTTTTAAATGGAACGGCCAATCTAGCCGGTCGTCTTCGGGGACGTGTTTCTGCACAAGGGAAAGTTTGCAAAGAGTTTTGCAAAATAATATTTAATGAAGTGTTGCTTTTAGCCACTGGCAAATTAGTTTTATTTGGTGTATCCCTTGGGAAGACTGTAGTCTGACGGAATGAGAATCATAATTGGTGGATGAGCCTGGAGAGTTCGAATGTGAGAGGGGGAGAGTGTGTGTGTTTCAAGGTAAAGTGCTCATAGTTGCTCTTGTGTGGAATGTGAAAAGAATCCTGGCTTATCTGCGTTTTTTCCTCTGGTTGCTCATGTGTGGCATGGCTTGTTTTTCTTCTAGGATGTGGAGAAAGAGAAGGAAACCCACAATTACCTCAGCACAGAGGAGATCAAAGAGAAGGTTCATAAGTACAACTTAGCAGTCACAGACAAGTTGAAGATGACCTTGGTAAGCACCCATAATGCTGTTTAAGTTGACACATGTCAAAAGATAAATGTAAATTGGTACGACAATCTCTATGTTTTAAAATCTCTGACTCACACTGGCAGAAGTTTAACGTCAAGGTCTGCAGAACAGGAAAGTGGAATATTTCTGCATCTTTCAAATTAAAGCTGTATTTTGAAGTAGATTTATCTCAAAATCAGTTAACACTTCTTAAAATTTTATTTTAAAAGATTTTGTGACCCCCACAGGATTTTTAGCATGATGTGTAATCATTGCCTGTTTAACGTATAGGCGGTAAATCAGATTCTGATAAGGCCTTAGATAAGTTTTATCTTGTGTCAATAAATTTGGAAGTGTCAGGAAGAGGAATTTGTGTCCATGGATTGGAATATAATTGAGCTGAGAGTTTTCTCAGCTGGTGTCAGCGTAAGACGAGGTGAGTAATATCCAGCTTCCTACGCTTTGTTGTTTCAGGCTTCTGCAACGGTGTGTTTGAAGCCTGTTGGGGAGTTGGGGTGGAGGAGGGAGAATTCTGCACGGGGCTTGGTGACATGAAAGGAGAGCTGACAACAAGGCCAGAGTGTTCACGCTCCTCTAAACTGGGCTGGCGGTTGTGCCTCGCCCATCCATTTGATGACTTTCCTCGAGGCGCCTGCCACCCCGTGGTGCCAGTTTCCAGGCCCTTGGACCCCTGCCTCCCAGTCTATTGACTGTGAACTGGCAAAGTTCAGCAAAGGACAGGGTCACCGCTTAGAACAGGCCCTACTGAATTCTGTGACCCTTCAGGGAGCTTTTAAATCTAAACCCTGTGGTAAAGGATCCCTCCCTAGTGGGAGTCTGCCAAAAAGGGAAGAAGGGCAGATGACCTCAAGATTATGCTTCGTTATTCCAGCGGTGGTGTGTCTCCTTTTTCAAACACACTTTTCATCAGAGAAGACAAATTCCACTCCCCGCCCCGCAAGGAGATTACAACAGATGCGAGTTTCCATGTTGTTTCAAAGATTACAAATTTGAAGTATTGTATAACACCTTCCACAAGAATGAACAAGTGAATTAGGATTGTAAATTGATCTTGAAAGGAAGAAAAATAATGGACCATAAAGGGAGTTTTTCATGTTCTTTTTAAACTATGCCATTTATATGTAACACCTGAGGATTTGTTTAAAACATTACAATGAAACTTTTCTAAATATACTGGATGTAAAAAGAAAAAGTGAAGACCATTATTACTAATTTTAGCAAGTAAGAAATAGCAGTTCTACCGTCAGTTAAGACAAGGGCTAAACTAACTCATCAAATTGTGTATATTACATATGCGCAGGTTGTTTGTATGAAAATTACACCTCAATAACGCTGTTAAAAATATATGCATATGTAAGAGACATAAATACATGTTAAAACAGAACAGACATAAATACATGTTAAAATACATGTTAAACACGTTGTAGCTTGAATTTATTTTAAAAATATTGCTGCTTGAGGAGCCTGAAACGCATCATCGTGTGTCCCATGCTATATGGGATACGGGCTGTATAAAGGGATTTAGGCAAAATTGGTCATCTGGTACGTATCATAATAGCCGCTAGGAATGAAAACAGCTTGTTTTCTTACTGTCCACTCCTGGTTTACTTCGGGACATCAGAGTCCTTAATGGTGACTTTCTTTCCTGTGCCATAGCTGGTCCTCAGGTGCAGATGTGGTTTCCTTTGAGCACAGAGACATATCCCTCTGAGCTCTGAGAAGCCCGTGGTTTGGCCGGCATCTGCTCCATGGACTATAACCTCCCCAGGGCGCCCTGACCTTTCACGTGCAGCCTCAGAGGCGTGAGTCTCAGACTTCAGTGGCCACCGCGCTGGGAGGCCGCCTGGATCCCACATCTGCTCTGCAGACCTTGCCTCTGGAAGTGCTTTGCCAGGGTGTGTTAACCTCCCTCCGAGGTCATCCCCTGGGGGCAGCCTTCAATGCGGTTCTGCTGCAGAGCTGCGAAGGAAAAGAAGAGAGAGAAAGAGTTTCCAGGTCCTTTTTTGGCTTCGCTGTGCTCCGTCCCTGGAATGCCACCATCAGCCCAGCTAAGCGTGTCCTTTCTTCTTTCCCACTTCAGAACTCAAATGGGATTTACACTGGCTTCATTAAAGTACAGATGGAACTCTGCAAACCCCCGCAGACGTCTCCGAACCCTGGAAAGCTCGCTCCCGGGAGCAATGGCTGTATGAACACACTTCACATTAGCAGCACAAACACTGTGGGGGAGGTGATCGAGGCCCTGCTCAAGAAGTTCCTCATGACCGAGAGCCCTGCTAAGTTTGCACTTTATAAGCGTTGTCATAGGGAAGATCAAGGTACGCTGCCACGCTTAAAATTAAAATGCGCCCTGCTTTGATGTCTTTTGTCCTCAGTAGCAGCCGGAAGACTGACGGGGGTGTCTGCGTCAGTTACGTCAGAGCCCAGGGACAGATTCTGGCACGCAGTGAACGCTCCCTGGCTGTCCCTATTTCCAAGTGGGACCGTTGTGGGTCTGAGGGGCTCAGAGCATCCACGTGTGATGGATATTTTTGGAGGATTTCGTGGCAGTGCCCAGGGGGATAGCTTTGAATGTTTTTTTTTTTTTTTTTTTAGCTTTGATTTTAGTGCTCTTTAGGACAAAAAGGAATGCCTCTGTGCTTGACGTTTTCAGGGACATATCCCACGTTTGACGTACGTCTCAGTGTGGAGGGGTTTGGTGGACTTGTCTCCTCAGAGACCCTGCGGATGGGGAGGCACGTGGGCCTTCCTGCACATTTGACACTTAGCGATGTAAACAGTGAGGCCCTGAGTTCTGTCTCTGAGCTTGTCTCTCTGGCCATTACACGGGACGTTTTTGGCACGCGGCCCCCCCGAGGCACAGGCAATGGGGTAGTAACATTTTGGTCTGGGGTCTGCCTGTCTAAGCTTAATACCTGCGTTCAGTGGATAGCAAGAGAATGTTAAATAAATGTGTGAAGTAAGATATGCCGGCTCAGGTGCTCAAGGGGAAATCGATCCCAATGGTGGCAGCAATGGTGTGAGGGATTCAGTAAGTGTTACTTTGAAAATGGTGTGTATGTGTGAGCAATCAACTATTTAAGCTTTCTCTGGTTTTTCTGGGTAAAGCCTAAAGCAGCTATGGAAGGAAAGATACCAACCTGGCATGGTAGGAATGTCCTTCAGCTGCATGGGGATGAAACCCAGCTAGTAGCTGAGTGTGGGTGCAGTTTCTGAACACACACGGTGGGCTGGGCCCTGCGGAAGACAGAGGTGACTAGGGCAGGGCTCGGCAGCATGGGGGCAGTTTGCATCTACAGGGAAATCGGCGCCCACCGTGCACTTGTGTCCGGAAGAGCCACAATAGTGTAGATACATTCAGACGGCATTTCTGTTGCGCCGGCCTCTCTGCTTGCTCACCAGGACTTCAGCTGTGCAGTCTGCTGTGCAGTAACTGCGTCCTGTTGGGATATCGCCCTCATAGCTGGCACATCTTTCAACAGTACAGATAATGCCATTACCGTGTGTGTATGTATGGGTGTGTGTGTGTGTGTGCATGCATGCATGTATGTGTGTGCGTGTGTGTGTAGCATGAGACACACATAGCTGTGCTTAAAGCCACCAGGGCTTGTATTCCGACTGCTTGGTTTGTGTGCAGCTGCTGATTCTAAATTAACCTGTAGAGATTTGCTCCTAGAGCTCTGATTTCCTGTTCTATGGGTGGTATATTTGTATTGTTTTTAAAGGGGTCGCAGATCCCTTTTTAAGTTTCTCGTCTTGCTTTCTAAAAGGAGGAGCAGAATGAATTATAAGCCCATCTGGGGACTAATACTCATTTAAATTCATTCTTGAAAATTCTTTGCTTTTTAATCAAGGCACAGTTTATATTGTGCAGACAGAACAGAAACAGTATGGCTTTCATCCCACTGTGGGCTCTTTATTGCTGGTAATAGGACGAGGAGGACGGTGACTTGGTGGCTGGGGTCACAGGGACTGTGGCTTTGATCGAGGAGGGGTCGGTGAGGGGTCGGTGAGGGGGTGTGTGGTCTAGGCAATGATGAATTCTTCTGCCAGTGACGTGTTGCTTGTTTCCTTACTCAGTCTACGCCTGCAAGCTCTCGGACCGGGAACATCCCCTCCATCTGCGTTTGGTAGCAGGGCCCAGAACAGACACCCTTAGTTTTGTTCTTCGTGAACATGACATTGGAGAGGTGAGTGATGGTTCATGCTTGCTTTAAACTCTAGGACCGGCCGGCCCTGTTCTGTCCTCTGGTCTAGGGCCTGTTCCACCGGGGAGAAAGAGGAGGAGGAGGGCAGGGGAGGGGGTGTGTGCATGTGTCCGTCCATCCGTCCATCTGTCTGTCCTGGGAGGAGGAGAGGTGGTCCTGAGGAGGACAGCTTTCCGTGTGTTTTCAAATTCTCAGAAGTGGACCCAAAGTTAGCCTACAATAGAGTTCTTTTACAACATTCATTATGTTGGCCTATGATTTTCAGAGGCGGGAGGAAATAAAGTTTTTTCCTTGACTTCCACCCAGAGTTGTTTTCGCCCCTTCTGCCTCCAGATTCCTCGAATCCAGCTGAACTTTGAAAGTTGACACTTTCCAAATGTCTGCCACTGACCAACACTCTACAGGGAAATCAGGAAAGGCAATCTCTCTACTGCGAAAGACATTTAACTCGTTTCTAGAATCTTTCTTTTCCCCTTTGCCCAAATTATCAAGAAGTTATGTTTATATGTGCCGGTTGAAGGAAAAAGCACTTTAGACCATTGTTCTAGGTCAAGTGACAACTTTCAACAGCACTTGAGTAAATGTCTCAGGCTTTTTTGACTAGAACAGGGAATTTCTAATTTCTAATGTAGAAAATTTTGCTCTCCTTCCCCATGGTTCTCATTTTCTTTAATAACCAGCTCACAACCCACCTCCGGGGAGCCCTCTGTCCTGGAGCCCACTTGGTGGTTTTGTTCTGGCTCCTCTGCATCCCCTCGTATGGGGCCATCTCCAGGCTTTCGTGCCCACGCCCCGGGGAGTCCCCAACGGAAGTGGCTCCTGGCTGGGGCAGTCATTCTCAGCCAGGACCCAGGGCCCCTTTGGGGAGGGGAGGATGTGGAGTGTGAAGAAACCGCCCAGGCAATGCCAAGTAGCCTTGACATTTACTGCTTCAATTAAAAAAGGTTTTAAAAACCCCACAAACATTGACTTTGTGCCTGCCAAGTCCCAGGTGCTGTTAGGGAGACAGAACTCAGAGGCTCAGGGGTGAGAGATGAATCCCTGATGGTGCGAAGGAAGATGGCTGCGGTGTAGGCGAGAGAGAGAGAGACAGAGACAGAGACAGAGACACAGTCAGACAGACAGACAGACAGACAATAAGCAAATGATTAAAGTAACCTTTACATCTTGTGTGATCAGGGCTCCCAGTGCTCAGAGAGAGCTTTCTAATAGACAAGTCCTGAGTGGGAGGGAGTGGAGGGAATCATGGAAGCCTTCTTAGAGAACGTGGCATTTAAGCTGAGACTTGAAAGTCGAGTAGGAGTTTGCCAGGCAGAGGGGAGGAGGGGAGAGCATGTGCCAAGCCCCTGGGGTCAGGAGTGAGGTGACAGCGTGAGAGAGGGTGGGATCTTTCAGACTCGGCAGAAACAACCAAGGGAGGCCATTGAGTGATTCTCAGCAGGGGAGGGTCACGACGAGATTTGCATTCGCACGGAATATTCCAGCTGGCTGTTTGGGGAACAGATTGAGGAGTTTAAGAGTGGAGAGAGGCGGCCGGGTAGGAGGGGTCCCAGGGAGGCAGGAGATGATGGTGGCTGGCAGGAGGGCGCAGGAGAGATGGGAAGAGCATGCGGATGAGAGAACCGTTTAGGAAGTGATGAAACTGCAGCAGGTGAGGAAGAAGGCAGCCGAGGCTGACTCTGAGTAGAGGGAAGAGAGTGCTTTAGGGTGGAGGGTGTGGAGTCGTTTCTACGCCTCTGTGGTCAGGCCAGGAGAGGAGTGTCTAATGGCCTTGGGGATGTGGAGGTCTTTGACCTCAGTGAGAGCCATTCTGGAGGACCGCAGGAGGAGGAAGGAAGGAGGGCGATGGAGGTGAGCCGAGTGGGGGTGGAGGGAGGGCCGGTCCCAGGGCGGGTCCTGTGAACACTGGGCTGTGAGTCGGCCAGGGAGGGCAGCCACGCCTCCACGTGCTCGGTCAGCATTCCGAAGTCTTGACGTGGAGTCCAACACCTGGCCCTTTCTTTTCTGTGTTCTCTCACAGTGGGAAGCCTTCAGCCTTCCAGAACTACAGAATTTCTTGCGTATCCTGGACAAGGAGGAAGACGAGCAGCTGCAGAACCTGAGGAAGCGCTACGCGGCCTACCGGAACAAGCTAGAAGAAGCCCTCGGCGAGGTGTGGAAGCCCGGTTAAGGCGCGGGCTCCGGCTCGCTCGGCCGCCGCGGGACCTGTGTGCGGACCAGCAGCAGCTGTCTCTGCTCGGAGGGCTGTGTTCCGGCCCTGTGATGCTAGGGTCTTCCCCTTTGATCTCTAGATTTAGTTCCCAGACCTGGCCACACAGCATCCTGCCCCTTAGGCATCCTCTGTAAGGGATTCTGCAAGCTTGTTCTGTTCCATCACTGCGGTGTTACCTCTTGGCAAGCTGTGAACCTGTTCTTATCTGGAGCATTCTAGAGTGCTTTGAAGCATGGACTCTGGGTTGTTGTTTTTTCTTATTTTCTTTTAGTTATTTTAATTATGTGATGTTGATGTTAAGCTTAAGGGTGTGCAAACGACTTTTTAAAAGCTTAACGAGGAATCTATCTGAATACTTGTCCTATGTTGAAACTACCTGTTTGTTTTTTGATTTTTTTTTTTTTTTAAATGTCAGGGGAAACGGTCCATGTGAATTGAAAGTCACAGGAAGCTAGAACGCTGAGGAATTGGGGAAGGAGTTTGGAGGAGTTTGACCAAGAAAGTAAAGAGCAAGTTTGGAAGAAGGCGCGAGTGGAGGTGGGGCGCTCCGAGGGAGGGTGTTTTGGGTGATGCGTTGACGGTGAAGGATGAAGGTGTATTTGCTTGTCAGCGACTTAAAAAGTAACCAGTTCTGAGATGTCAAACCCTCTCAGTAGTGCTTGACTTCCTGGTAAGTAAAAGGTGGGAACAGAACCAAAGAAAGTAGGACCTAGACCAAAAGGAGGGCTAACCCAGCGGCTGACCCAGAGCCCGGCGGAGCACTCGGGCCGGGGTCCGCGGAGCCAGCAGACAGGCCCTGGCGGCTGGAGCTGCCCCCGGGACTGCCCGGACCCTGCTGCTCAGAGCGGGGGCTCACGGGGCACCTTCTCTGGGCAGGTGAGCAGTGGCCGCGCGCTGACTCCTGTGAAGCTACGGTTTCTCCCTGGGTGATTTTCAAAGCTGAAAGGAGTTTGGGTGGGGCAGCTGGCTCCCCGATGGCTCGTGGGGAGATGCGCCACATCCGAGCGCACAGCACACTTCCTGACAGTCACATCGAGGCTCCCTCCTCTCCTTCCCCTCCCTTTGTCCTCCCCCCTCCCTCCTTCCCCCTTTCTCTTATTCAGTGAAGGCTTCTTCCCTAATGTAGAGCAGGGATGCGGATGAAAGACCAGGTCCTGTGGGCAGCTAGACAGGGAGGGCAGTCCACCCCCGCTGGCCGCTCGAGGGCTGCCTTGTGGAAACGCTTTAACAGAAGTGCATGTTCCTCCCAACCAAAGAAACGCGTGTGCAATAGGAGCCTTCCGGAGGCGGGTGAGAAACTCATGGTGTGCAGCAGGCAGTCTGAGAACAGCGGGAAAGGGTGCTGTGCTGCTGGAGGGCCTCGGTCTCTGTTTAGCCTAGGATATTTTTTGTTTGTTTATAAATTCCCAAGGAATTGTTAACACTTTGGTGACACCTAATGGATTCTTTTTGAAACTCCGAGGTGCTTCAGGGCTTTGCCTAAGTGAACTGTGCCTTTTATTGCATTTCTGTCTCCTCTTTGTGGCCCTTGGGACACTTCAGAGAAGACCCATCTGGTGGGAGGCAGGTGGGAGTGTCGGTTTCGCTGTGCCACACACATTACTGAGACAATCATATCTTCTGAACTTTTTAAGGAAAGTTGGAAAAAAAAAAAGTAGAGCTAGCTATAAAATATGTATGGCACATCTTGTTTAATTTTGCATGTACCTTCTTTTTAGTTCATTGATGAGGTTTAGTGACATTGTCATCCAACACTTTACCTTTATTGTTCAGGGAATGCCTTCCTGACTTTATACTGGTTTTACTATCCAGACTGTGGCTTGGGTTTGAGTATACTGTTATCAACCACCTGGTCTCTGAATTACCCATCCCGGGAAGCTTATATTTTTTGAAGCATTTGTTTCTCAGATCAAGACACTGTTAGAACCTAAAGTAGGAGCTGATGGGTATCTGTGAATTTTTTTTTTTTTTTTTACTTGAAGTAGATTGTCTAAAATAGGCATCCTCATCTGTGTTATCCAGAACCTCGCTCACTGTTGTGTGCACTACAAGTTGCAATTTGGAAACCTTGCTGTATTGAAATTCTGTCAGTACAGACCAACGTTCTCTCCCAAACACTGGTTACTGCGGCAGCGTTTTTAATGTGTAAAAGAAGAAAGGCCACAAAGGCCGAAGATTTTTAAAAATCATTGTACAAATTCTTATGATAAATTAAGCTTTGCTGTAATACTGTTTTCTCTTCAGTATGTGATGGTACAGGAACGATGTTAAATGAAGGGGTGGTATTGCAGGGGAGCATTTTAAATCGCAGAAGTAAAAAGTTATAATATTTATAATTTCGATGAGTTTAAGTTTATTTTTATAGGGAAGATTTTTCTTCCCTAAAATTGTTTCTGGAATGGCAAATTGTTTCCATTATTAAAAGTTGAAGTTGTTAGTGGATGTTTGTGTGTTTTCCTTTATGATAATACACCAGGTAAAAGAAAGCCACGGGCTGGCACGAACCGCTTTTGCAGATACACGGGGACACGTGTGGGGAGGCGACAGCTTTTCCTAGGTTTGAGTGGGGGCACACTGGTTCTCTCAAATGGCATTCTTCCTTTGCCTTATCCTCTGGGGAAAATAACCCTAGGTGAGTGTCCATATAACACATTCCTGAAGCGATTGTTTTAATTGTGAAATATACATGCATTCAAAAGTCTATGAAGCGTGGGAACAGTTTAAAGAATGATTTGCCCTGTGACCACTACAAATAGATTAGAAATCCTCTCCCTCCACCCCCCCAGGCTGGTCCCTGAGGGCTCCATCCTTGAAACGGACCACTTTCAACAGGAAAGTATCTGTACTTTTTGCTCAGCGTGACTCTCCCATGGGACGGGGAGTGTCTGGTTCCCGCCCGGGGTGCCACCGGCCTTCTCGGCCCAGGCCGCCTACCTGGTGGAGGCGAGGTTTTCGCGGCTGCACTGCCCCCTAGAGGCCCTGGAGGTTGGTGACCGGGAAACTGCGCGTCCGACAGTTGCTGTGCAAGTGCAAATATGATGGTAGAAAATGATGGTCCCATATTGAGCTCCCTTTTCGCTGAACTGTCCAGAGGAATGTAGTTTGGGGCTTCAGCCTGGGTTACTGCTCCAGGTCCAGGAGGAGCTTTTGGGATTTTTCTCCCTTAAAGCGAATTAGCTTTCTGCCCTAGGCTTTTCTTCAGAATTTGTCACCGATTGGTAACTTGTTGAAATAAATATTCTTAGGGTGCAGCATCCGTTCTTAAGAATTGTCTACTGCGTTTGGGACTGTTAGATGATCCTGACTGGGTGTTTTGTTTTTTTGAAAAGAAGGAGAGTCCTTACTACAATAGCAAATTCAAAGAAAAGTGCCTGCCGTGTGCCAGGCCTTATTCCTACACGCTTACTGTGTATGAACGCGTTTTCTCCCCCTCATGCCCATTTGCAGATGAGGAAACAGCAGCTCCCTGCGGCCGCTCTGTGTGCCTGGCAGAGCCGGTCCGCCTCTCCCCGGCCTTTCCCTGTGAGCTCTGTCCCGCTTTTCAGTTATCCTGCCTATTAAAAGCCTGTTAGTTGTCTCTCAGGGGCCGTCCATCTGAAAGCAGCCCTCTCGGTGCAGCCGGGATTTGTGGGAAATGAAAGGGCAGCCTTGATGTCAGTGCTTTTCGATCCCTCGTTTTGTTTGTTGAGCATTCCGTTTCAGTGATGCTAAGTCACCGAGAACGAAGCCCTGCCTGTGTTCGCAGGTCCCCTTGCGTGGGGGAAACTGACAGGAACCCCGAGTTCTGGCCACGAGTGAGGGAATTCCCTGGAACCACGAGACGAAGAACAGCTTCCCGGAGCAGTCAGAGTCCCGGGAGCCGCCGGACACTTGGGAAGGCTGGAGTCTACCCCCTCCCGAGGACGACCCTTTCCGAAGGAGCGCAGGAAGCTAAGTGTTCAGTCTTTAAAGTGCACGTTTGTCCGGTGTGAATTCCTACTCGCTTTGTTAAGAGTGCGAGGAAGCGGCTTTGTCTGAGGATTAGGCGGACATGGGGGTGGGGGCAGTGGGCAGCGTTAAATAACACCTTCCAGGTGAAATGCATTAATTCCATCTGCAGGATTTTGGGGTTTTTTTTTTTTTTTTTTTTTGGTTGGTGGTTTTCGGTTTCATTCTGTTTTGGTTTCTGGCAAATCTTTCCCTTTAATTCTTCCAGGAGAGAATGGCAGGGTAGAGGTCAGACTCTTTGATCTGGAATCACAGTTTCCGCGGACACTCGTGACTCACGCTGGGCGGAGGCAGCGCTTGCAGCCACGGGCCTCCGGAAGCTCCTCTCCTTCCCGTTTCCGAGAGTCTCAGAATTTTTAAGTGTTTATACACAAACAGCACAACATCAGGGCTCCTTGTAAACTTCAAAAGAAGTTGGGGTTCTGGCTTTGTTCTTGGGAGGGAGTGGCTCTCCCAGGATGGTTGGTTTATATCTTTCCGAGCACGAGTCTTACCTTTAATGCGCCTCAGCCTGTAGCGCGCGGGTCTGGCTGTGTGGCCGGCTCTGCAGCCTCGCCTCCTCATTGACACCCGTGTGGACGCAGGGGATTAATTAAGCCCTGGGTGCGGCTCCTTTTCCGTGAAGTGGAGTTCTAGGGGGCTCTGCTCCAGACGGCTTTCTGGTTTTCAAATGCAATAAAATTCCCTTAAATTCTAGGAATTCTGGAGCAGCGAACTGCAGTGTCTCTCTAAAACTTAGAATCCTTGAATTATTACCCTTGCAGGCGGGGAGGCAACAGCTTAAAATCACATCTTTTGCTCTGAACTATAAATGGTGTCTTCAGATCCTTTTTAAGACGGCAAACATTTCAAATGCTTTTCTTGCTTGTGTGATCTCTCAAGGAAAACATTCAAAGCCAATGATGTTTAGGTGAAGTTGAGCATGGACACGCTTATCTGAGAATACAAGGGCAGCCATAGAAATCAAGGACTTGGGTTTCTGCCTTCAGATGAGGGAGTTTGTGTGTCTGGGGAAGGGGGGAGCTTCCGGGGAGATCACCAGCAGGAGTGAGGGGTGCAGCAGGATGCTCCTGGCCCCTGGAGCTCACCCCCCCCCCCCCCCCCCCAGCTTGCTTTCTAAAATTTTGTTCTTTGCAAGTAAGGCCACGGAGCAGAGGCACAGGACGTCTTGGGGAAGGTTATTCTGAAGCTGGCAGTAGGGAAAGGGCGGTGCTTAGGATCTCTTGGAAGAGATTTCAAGACCCTGAGGTTACCACACTATTTCTTCCTGGACTGCCTCCAGAACTACCGCAGGTGCTGATTTTTAAAAGGCAGGTTTTTCTGCACCCCACCCCAAAGCTACTGAATCTGAATCTCTAGTCCTGGGCCCTGAGCAACTCCTGTTTTAACAAGCACCCGTATGTTTTCAAATGCCAATTACAAATCTTAGAGCTCCATGGAGCATTTCAGAGGCGGAAGGGAGACATCCGCCTACACAGTTGTACCTCTCTCTCTCTCTCTCTCTCTTTTTTTAAACAAATTACTTCCACGTTGAGAGTAATGGCTAGCCTGCAGAGAGGCTCCCCGACCTGCCATTTAGCCCTGGGAAAAACAGTTCTATATATAGTATGACCCTGTACCCCTGACCATGGCTAACTGGATCTTAGTTAGACCTCTGATAGAAGGCCATTGATCAATTAGACTTTCTCAAAATTTTAAATAAAGAAACGAGAATTCTAGTTAGTCAGTGATGGCTACTCATAGACCAGGGGGGCTGAGCCCCACCACTGGGCCTTGCATCACAGGCAGAGAGAAACTGTAGAGAAAGCAGGAGAAGGGAGCAGAGGAAGTAGAGAGGAGAGGCCATGTGGCCTTCGGGAGATGGAGAGAGTAAATTCAGAACATACTTGATGTTGTTAGCTGTTGGATGCCTCATGGTACACTTCTTCCCTCAGTAAAGAATTATCTTGGTTTACAAGGGTTCTGTACCCATATACCTATTTCTACTATGGGATCAAGAGTGGAAATGGAAATTTATAGCACTAAATCCCTATTAGGAAAGACGAAAGGGCTCAAATGAATGACATCAGCTTCCACTTTAAGAAACTGGAAAAAGAAAAGCAAACCCAAAGTACAGGAGAAAGGGAGTAATGAAGAGTGGCGATTAATGAAATAGAAAACAGAAACACAATCAATGAAACCAAAAGCTGGTTCTTTGAGAAGATCAACAGAATTGGTAATCCTCTAACCAGACTGATCAGGCAAGAACGACAAGATGCAAATGAACAGCGTCAGCAACGGGAGAGGTGACATCACTACCGATTCTACAGAAATCCTTGATATGTTCATATTTTAGGTCCTTGCATTGAAATAATTTTCCTTAAAAATTAGTTATTTTCTGCTTAAAAAATGGTAAGCTCTAAACACAGTCCTAATTTTGCCTAGCTTCTGAGAAGCGTGCCAAATGACAAGTGCTGATGTTCCTGCTGCTACCAGCTTCTTTGTTCCCTCAGGAATTTACAGTTATCTGCAGTATGTACCTTTAATGCATATGATCAGTAATATTCTGACAACATTGAAGCTTACTTTCATATTATGGGGAATACAGTAGGGTTCATGCTTATTAAAATGAGGATTAAGATTATGCTCGCTTGTTTCCTTCCTCCCTCCCTTGCTTCCTTCCTTTCCATCCCTCCTTCTCCCATCCCTCTCTCCCTCCCTGCCTCCCTCCCTTTCTTTTGTTTTCTTTCTTTCTCAACCAGTAGCTTGGAACTAATTGTAATCATATTTGAGGAATGAGTATGTCTGGTTTGCTGTCAGGTTCTGTGATATCTATATTCTCATAACCATCCTTTTTTCCTTAAACCTTTCACTTATATTAGTTTGTTCTGTTCTTTGCACAAAAAGAAACTTGAGTAGAACACCAAGTGTTTTAACTTCTTTCCTTCAACAGATATTTATAAATCACCCGAGAATGTGAGGTACCGGGTAGATTATGGTGGGAAGGAACATCCTGGTCCCGGTCTCATGGAAACCGGAGTCCTTGTGTAGTGCAGACTGCCAAGTGTCATGAAGCTAAGGTACAGAGAGCTCTGAGAGTTTATTATTTTAGGAGGTTAGAGAAGCTTTCCTGGCAGAAGTGATTTGGAGCTGAGATCTTACGGGTGAGTAGGAGCTCCCCAGCAGAATTCATCACTTACCTTATGTGAGAATTTTCTACTTGATGGGACTGGTTTCTGAGGTCTTTCTTTTGGGAGCATGTGACACTGGTGTCACTCTGACTGCTTTTCCTCTATTATGAAAAAAGAACTTTAAGTAGGGTAAATAATTCTCTCTAGGTTAAGAATTCATCTTCGGCAAGGGCAGAGTTAAAATTTATGATGACAGGTGCTCTGGATCAAACCCGATTTCTTTTTTTCCTGTGAAGTGGGGAGGGGGTTGGCCATCTGCTCACCTCCCAGGGCTGATGTGAGGGCCAAGTAAGACAGCGAAGGCAAAGGTGCACCGTTCAGCTTAGCGTAAGGCGGTATTATTCTCCACGCTCCTCTTCCTCCAGTGGTGCCATGGCTGCTTTACCACTGCGCCAAGCTGCTTGCCTATCGCGTTGACGCTAAAATTCATCTAAGAAGCAATACCGAGGATGCGGTTTCTAAGAGGGATATTTTTCCAAGCAGAAATGTTTTTTGTTTTTGTTTTTTAAACTCACGCTTAGGGAAGGAAATGGAATTATAAGCAAAACACTCAAGATTCTACGGCAAATAGTAGAACAAGAAATCCACATTCAGAGCCTTCCCTTGTCCTCCCATAAATACAGTGGCAGAGTGTTGTCTTTCTTCTCTGACGAGTTAAAGCCAAAATGCTCAGAGCAGCTGGGAGCATCAGAGCAGCTGGGAGCAGGGACGCCCGTGCCGTCACGTCTCTGTGAGGAGAGAGCGATGCTGACACATCCAGACTGGAGGGCCACGTAGGTGCAGCTGGGGGCCTGCTCCCTTGTTGCTAGTCAGTGTCGTTGGTGTGCGAACCCCTCCACCCTCCAGCCCCAGAGAGTAATCTTGGGGACTGGACCATCTCCAGCTCACTTTAGACTTCTCCCAGCTGCAGGGCACAACATGTGTGGGACTAAACATTTCATAGACGTGTCTGGAAACAGCCACTTGGGAGGCTTTGAAACAGGAAGGGGCCCTTCTACAGGCAGACCATGACCTGCGGCTTCCTGCCTCTCCTGATGCAGTCCGTGTTCACCCCTGACCTCTTAACTAGGGCCTTCGTGGCCTTACAGGAAGAAGAAAGGGGCAGGATGACGGAGGCCCCCACTTTTTGTCTGGCCCTGCTGTGCAGAGGACCAGACTTGGCACACTGGGCTGCATTTGCAGTGGGGCAGCCACAGAGTGCAGTCAGGGGCTGGGCTCTGCCCTGAGAGCGGACCCGGGGTGAGTTGTCGCCCATTCCAGACTGCTGGAAGAATGCAGGTTGTCGTGCTGCTCTCGGGCTTAGTAACGTTGCCGCGTGCCCGATCTGGGCGGTGCTGGGAGACTGCAGAGAAAAGCGCACGAGGCAGCCACTTTCTTAGGAATGTCAGCAGGAGCAGAACCCATTGTGCCTCTGAGCTACTTTCCTAGCGTTGGGATGAGGCAAGGGAGTGGTGACTGATGATCTCAATTTGGAGAACAGGTGCCCGAGAAACCAAGCCAGCAGCTTCACCTGCTGCAGCTGCTGAGGAGCTGCCCACTGCGCGCTGCGCTGTCCCCCGCACCAGCTTCTGTGAGATACGGAGACTTACCAGAGGGAAGACTGGGTCTGCGACCGGAGCCTGCCAGCCAGGAGAGTCCATTAAAATATTTTCCAGCGTGTGCTGAGAACGACATTTCAGCAACCGTTCTGACAAGGAAGCTGCTACGGGGTTTTCGTAACGGTGACTGGGAACCAGTGTTTATTTATGCTCTTCAAGCATGTAGTGTACATAAGACTTTTTTTTCCCCTTTTGAGATGAGTTGAGCCTCTATGACCAGAAGCTTTGCCCTGTCCTGGGTACCTGCAGTTGGACATGTTTTGGCAAAAGGCCTGCCCCAGGTTCTCTCTCGGTAAGCCAGCTTTGGTCATTACAGGAGTCATATCTTGCTGCATTTTATTACTCCAGCATCAGCAGCTTAAAACAACATTAAACGTTTATTCCATCACGTGGTCTCCATGGGTCAGGAGTTTGGGAGCAGCTTAGCTGGATGGTTCTGGCTTGGGGGTCTCATGAGGTTGCAGTTAAATGTTGGCCGGGGCTGCGGTCATCTGAAGTCTTGACAGGCCGTAGGATCTGCTTCTGAGATGGCTCACTCACACAGCTGGTAAGTAGGGGCTGGTCACTTGCAGGGGGCCTCAGATCTCACCATGCAGACCTCACCATAGGGCTGCTCAAGTGGCTTCATGATACGGTGGCAGATTTCCCCCTGAATAATCCAAGAGACAGCAAGGCAGAAGTGGCCGTGTCTCTTATGAGGTAGCCTTGGAAGTCACACACCATCACGTATGCCCTATCCTATTGGTCTCGTGGACCAACCCTGATGCACTGTGGGAAGATCACTGGGAGGCATCTTGGACTGGCTTACCACAGCCATACTGGAAATAGTTAAATGAAGTGTGAAGAGAGGAGCGCTTGCTTTGACTTCTTTTCCAACAGCCATGCTGTGGAGCAGGACAAGAAGCCACTGGAATGGTGTGGCACCTCCCCTTCTTGGTCCAAAACTACTTTCCCTGTGAATACAGGTATCAGGGACAAGGTCTTTTTTCTTTTTGGTCTGTTAATATATGTTGTATATATTTAGGTGCTCCTATGTTAGGTGCATAAATATTTACAAATGTTACATCCTCTTGTTGGACTGACCCCGTGATCACTATGTAATGCCCTTCTTTGTCTCTTATTATAGTTTTTGTTTTAAAGTCTATTTTGTCTGATGTAGGTATAGCTACCCCAGCTTTCCTTTGGTTTCCATTTGCATGGACTATCTTTTTCCATCTCTTCACTTCCAGTCTGTACGTGTCGTCACATCTGAAGTAAGTCTCTTATAGACAGCCTATGGATGTGTCTTTCTTTTTATCCATTTACTCTATGTCTTTGATTGGAGAACTTGGTCCATTTACATTTAAAGTAATTACTGATAGATATGGGCTTATTGCCATTTTATGAGTTGTTTCCTGGCTGTTTTGTAGCTCCTCTCTTCCTTTCTTCTGTTGCTCTCTTTATGGTGTGCTGACTTTTAGTGGTGTGCTTTTTCTTTTGTGTATCTACAATAGGTTTTTGCTTTGCAGCTACCATGAGGCTTACATGTAACAACTTAGAACAATCTATTTAAGTTGATAAACTTGAACGTGTTCTAAACCTCTACATTTTTACCCTCTCCCTTTTTGTTTTTGATGTCCATTTTACATTTATCACCTGTGTATCCCCTTAATAATTAGTTATGTGTACTACTTTTGTCTTTTAACCTTCATAGTAGCTTGATAAATGATTAATCCACTACCTTTACTATATATTTACCTCTACTAGTGAGATTTATACTTTCATGTCTTATTACTAATTAGCGTGCTTTCTTTTCAGCTTGTCAGCCCCTTTAACCTTCCTCGTAAGGCTGGTTTAGTGGTGATGAACTGGAGCTTTTGCTTGTCTGGAAAACTTTCTCCTTCAATTCCTAATGATCACCTTGCTGGGTAGAGTATTCTTAGTCGAAAGTTCTTTTCTTAAGTTCTCTTTTCGATCTACATAATGCCCTGGAGATCAGGAATAGAGTAATCCCTTTCACAACTAAGCTCGCTGCTACTCTGTTAGGCAGAGTAGGCACTCAGATGGATGAGGGAGGGAACCAGCCTTCCTAGATCACAGAGATAGCCGCGTGTAACAGAAAGATGGCAGTGAAGCCAGATCTTTGAAATCCTGACTCTGACTAATGAGCTTTGTGAGCTTGGGTAAATTAAGCTGAAGAGCAAACCTAGCCTGCAGAGCTGTTTTTATCATGATAAATACTAATTAGAAGCATCCTCTGCCTCTCTCTACCCTTTGAAAATCTGTTAGTATCAGTCTGAGCTGCAGGTTAGGAGGACACACATGGATCTGAGGTCTCAGGAGCAGAAGGTGGTCATGAGAGCTCCCTCTGAAGACGAAGCTGTAGAACCATCAGCCTGCTCTATGGTGCTCTGGGAGCCGGCTCCCATGTCCCACGTCCAAGTCTCGTCTCACTAGACAGTAATTCCTGGGCCGGCAGGGGAGGTGCTTTCCGCTCGTGGCCTTTGGATTCCCTAGTTTTCCGCTCTTGCCTCAACAGACTTGAAGGTTCGTCTACATCCAGCCCTTTAAACCCGCTGTTGGCAGAGAAAGAGAGACTCATTCCATGGGGAATTCGGTTCTGTGGGGCGGGGTGCAGTCTCAGTGGGAAGAGGTGGGCAAGCTAGAAAAACGGCTCTGGTAGAGGCTGTACTCCCCTCACTCTGAGTCTGTGCAAATCAATGCTCCCCTGTTTCTGTTGACATTGTGATACACCCAAATTACCTGTTTTTCTGATAGAATCTGGCAACTTTATGGGCGTCCTCTAACACCCTGTTTTGCTACTTGGTCTCCATAATTTATGAGATGAGAGGCAACCTGCTAGGTCTGGGGTTGGCAAATCACGGCCTACCTGTTTTTGTATATGAAGTCTTATTGGGACATAGCTACTCATATCCATTCAAGTGTTGACTAGGACTACTTTTGGGCTGTAACAGCAGAGTTAAGTAGTTGTGACAGAGACCACATGGCCTACAAGCCTAAAATATTAACTGTCATTTTAGGAAATAGTCTGTCAACCCGTATGGAGTCATTCCTCCTTAGGGCAATGGATCACATGACTGGGCATCAAGGCAGAGCACCTTCGAAGGTGAGCTTAGTTTATTTCATTTAAGGCCGGCTAAGGGAAGATGTTTTTTCTCAACGCTGTCAATGCCACAAGATTCCTCAGGAAGGACTTTCTACATGGTGCTCCTTCCTGGCTGCCCGTCAGCAGGGAGCACGTGTACAAGAGCTTTCCAGGGAGACACTACAGCACCCAACGAGGAGATGGCCCTCTCCAGCACCAGCAAGTGATTAAAACAGGAAACCGCATCCAGAAAAAAAGCATCTCGACAAAATTACGACTTGCGGACTAAAACAAAGGACACATTCCCACTAGAACAGAAGTGAATTTTAATTGATTGAAAAGTGCAGCAGTGAACAGGGTCCTCTGAAGGGCACTTGGAGTCAGACGACGGGGATGACACAGAGCCAGGGCAGGACACCTTCCAGGAACAGAAGATGCGAACACAGGAATTCACAAAGTTCAGTGGGACCCAAGCGGCGGTGAAACCAAGGAACCCAAACGTTCCCATCCAATTCCAGTGGCGAATCAGCTGAAACACCCTTTGCTTTCTCTTAGTAAGGATCCTGGGACAATTCATCTTTTCATTACAAAAGCGCTAATGCGTAGACACTTAAAAATAAATTTAAGAACATTTCTCACAGGTTAAGATATAACTTCCATGGCTATCATTACTATTTTGTACAAAAACCCTGGTGTTGTCTATTAAAATGTATTTTGCAACAGCACCATTGGTCACAGATGCTCAACAGGTGCTCTCTCCTTTGTAATTGTATTTGAGGGAGAGCCGTGTAACAGGAAATCTTCTAAGGCAAAGTCTCTACTCATTCCTATGGCCTGTGTTCACTCCTAATGGTTACGCAGTTTTCTACTCTGAAGGGTACCAAGAGAAACAGACCCGGCCTTCTTAGAAGGGAAAATCATCACAATTCAAATCAGTACAGTTAAGAGAGAAACAAGGCAAGCCTCTTGCAGTGGGTCCCTTAGACATTCTGAAAAGTTCAGTGCACTCTGTAGTCTGCTAGGCTATAAACTGAGGCCTCTTTAAGAAAGATGGTTTCAGCATGGATCCAGAATGAAGCCAGTCCAAGAGAAAGTCAGACTAGAGGCCTTTCAAAAGTTCGGTAGGAAATGCGCCAAATAAGAGTGGAGGACAGAGAGGGCCACCCCACAGCCCACCACCCACACATGTCCACTGAGCATGCGAGCAGTCTGGCTGGGACACTAGTGCTGTGAACGTGAGAGCAGTGTGCTGGGGACACTACTGGCAGCTGACTCGTGTCACTCTCCTGACGTCAGCTGCCTTCAGGAACCAGCATCATGAAATCGAATAATACGACATCACAGTACAAGACCTGGTATCAGTTGGTTTCTTTTTATTTGGGAATAACTATGGTCAACTTTAATTAATGGGGAAGTTGACTGATTAATGTTAAAAATCAAAGCGTAGAATAAAGCTGTAACCCATACTCAACATTGCAGTTTGAAATCTTTAGAATTTCTTTCCCTAAAACATTCACAAGCGGAAGTGTTCGTCTCACTTGCCTGTCTGACCTCTAACCACCACCAGTTATGGGATCGCATGAGATAAAGGAATAGACCCAGTGGCTATTTGGAATTCTGAGAGGAAGGGTGCTCTGGCCGTGTCCTACCAAGTGTGTAAGCTCAGCCTAAGCCCTTAAATAAAGCCACGGTCCCCGCCGCCTGAGCTGCGCAGGCCTGACCCACAGCACCGCCTCCCCCCGCCGCCCACCGCTGGTGAGCTTCTTGTGAAGGAGACAGTGCAAACGGGGTTGGTCTTTGAGCCAAAACACATAGAAATGTAGGTGTTCTAAACAGTGAGGGAACCTCAACAGGATCTGGTTTTGGCAGGGGAATAGCAAACGGGGCCCAGATTACACATGACTCCAAAAACTCAAGAACCCATCCGAAAGGGAAGAGGGGAAAGCAGGCTGGTACTTTGCATCAGCTCTAAGAAATGTTTACACCTTATAAGAAATGAACACCGTGTCAGCAAAATGCAGAGAGAGCCAAACAACTTCACACGTGGGTTGACACCCAGGCTCCCTGCCACACCCCAGCCACAGCCCGGCCACCTGCCTGCCCTAGAGCCCCAGCCACAGGGGGCCCCCACCAGCCTGGGAGGTTCCTCTTCTCTGCCGAGACACCCCAGCCGCTTTAACTTTCAGCTCTCAGAGGGGACAGTATGGAGGGACATTCCCTCGAGCCCCTGGTGATAAGTGGCACTTCATGTGGTTAGCAGCCACCAGACAGGAGAGGGCTATCACCTTCCGTAACCACCTGGAATGAGCCCTTCCCAGTAGCTCACTGCTCTATTTCAGTGCAGCAGCAGCCCAGAAGTCCAACAAATGGACAGAACTCGGCTGACATGTTCTGACTCTGTGACTGTATCACATTGTGATGGGTATTACAAACAATATGTTTCCACTAATCTAAAAACCATGGTACTTGTTCTTAATCAGATGATTCAGCTCTGATGGTTATTCTTCAAGCCACGCAATGTTAGTATTTTTGACAGTGAGGTGCTCAATCTGAAATGCTGTGCAGGTCCTTTGATTGTAGGTCAAGCTATATATCAAAAACATTTTTCCCCCTAAAGTATTGCCATTTATCTGAATGGGTTTACAAATTCAGACTTTGACCACATGGGGAATAATCAAGAACTGTAGCCCCAGGACAGAAAGGGTATGGTGCGAACAAAGACCTCAGGAGCATTCGTTATCAGCCGAGTGGGGACCAGGGACAGCCACTCCTGACATATGGACAGAGATCACAGTTTAACACGTTGCACAAGGAAGTCAGCTGATGGGGTTGCTTTTTCAAACAGGACTTAAAAGCAGCCAGTCCAGAAACTCTTCCAGGGGTGGTCTCGAAGACTCGCTGGACACCTACTACAACCGCTTCAGAAGAGGCGCGCAGGGCTCCCACTGCAGGGGTCGCTACAGAGGAGGCTTTGAAAACCTTCGAGTCCTGACACTGCCGTGATTGTTGAACATGAGACGAGGGTCAAACCTGTACCTGGGGAGGAGAAAAGGCTGTCACATCACTCTGGCTGGCCACTGAGTACTTCCTGCAGAAAACTAAGTGGAAAGGACGCCAGTCAGGGATATAAAAGGAACAGCTGAACCACCAGAAGGGAATGTAGTGGCAACGTCTGCAGGACAAAACAGTACTTAATAATTAAGAGCGTTTCCATCACAAGTCAGCAAGCACAAAACAGAGGAGTAAAAGTGGAGAGAAGAGACAGAAGGAAGGGTAATCTTGAAAGGCGACAGGAGGAGGCAACATTTGAGCGGTTGTTTTTTGACAGAGAAGGAGTGATCCCTGAGATATAAACAGCCCCATGAAGAGTCTATCGCCCTTGCTGAAGGCCCTACCAGCTGTTTCAAAGCCCTTCCCTCTTTTGCAGTGAAGACACAGAGGCTGCGGTGAGTCAGAGCGCAGGGGTGCACGCCAGCCACGAGTTTGAATCTGGCTCATTATGAACTTAGGTAAGTCATTCACCTCTGGCCACCAACAAAACAGTAAGGCAATTCATGCAAAATGTCTGGCACATATAATAACTTAATTTGCCACCCAAGGGAAAGTTCGAGTGCGTGCTGAACGGTAACCTGAGTTGCGACTTGCCAGAGACAAAGGATGTAAATTGGCTGGAGTGAGATTTTACAGGTGCAGGCTAGAAATAACACTGTATTTACTTTTTACCTGCTATCCTTTGGACAAACTAACTCTTAATATCATTGTAGAGCAGGGGCTGGCCAACGTTTTTGGTAAAGGACCAGATAATAAATATTTTAGGGTTGGTGGCGGTACAGTCTCGGTCCCAACTACTGAGCTTTGCTGCCGAAGAGCAAAAGCAGCACAGACAGTGGGTATGCGAATGTGAGTGCTGTGTCCCAGCAGGTCGGGGCTGGACTGGGCCTGTGGGATCTAATCTGCTGACCCCCATTTCAGAAGATTCTATAGGTCTAAATATTTGGCAGGAAAGAAAAAGCTACAGCTAAGGAATTTAAAAAAAAGTCAGGTGGAGTTTAAATAGTTCAGGCTAACATCAGCAAAGCCAGCACCTAGAATCTTAGTTATAAGCTTCTAGAATGTGAGCAAGACAATTAGTTATAGTTAAACAAAGGAAGCTTGCCTGGAGCCCGGAGATCTCGAGGTGGCAGTTCCTAACAGGGTGACCCTCGGGCAGACCATGACTGCCAGCTCTGTCTCCTCTGAAATTCACCTGTTTGGGTTCTAAGGGCTGCATGCACATTCTACGGGTGAGTCTAACACTTAAGGCCAGACGCTCGAAGAAACAAGGGAGCTGCTGCGTGCGCCCTGCATTGGCCAATGGGATGCCAGCACGGCAGCCTGTGGCCTAACAGCAGCATGATCAGGGACGTCATTGTCCAAGAGGTCCAAGTCCCTTGACCCTCCATTCAAGATTTAATTAGATGTTGGCTTTAACTTCTGAGAGTCGGCCAGAGACTGCTAGGGACACCAAACTTTATCTGACTTGATAAAACACTCCGAGCCAAGTAGCTGCTGGAAACTGGAAAATCAGCATGTGTCCACTAGAAGTCTTGTGCTTTTATCTTAGAGACCAACCTTCCTATTTCAAGGAACTGGCACCAAGCGAGGATCCATCTGACTGACTTGGAGGAAAGAGCAAAGTCAGGCAGTGGGTGAGAACGCCTGACCAATTACTGCATTAACAGGATCTTTGCTGTTAGTGCGGTTGAGTTAATTCTGACTCCTAGCGCCACCGTGGCCAGCAGAGCATAACCCTGTCCGGTCTTTCTGCACCATCCTCTCCCCTTCCCACGCTCGATCAGACAATGCTCTGCTGCTCTTCACAGGGTTCTCAGGGCTGACTTCTTCAGAAGTGGGTGGCCAGGTCCTTCTTCCTAGTCTGTCTAGTCTGGAAGCTCCACTGAAACCTGTCCAGCATGGGTGACCCTGCTGGTACTTGAAATACCATGGGCGTAGATTTCAGCATCACAGCTGCCCAAGTATGACAACTAACAGATGGACCGGTGGTGTGGTTTTCTGAGCGGGCGATGAACCCAGGCCGTGGCGGTGAGAGCTGCACACCTTAACCACTAGACCCCCAGGGCTGGCTATGAACACGATTATCCACATACAAAAGGGTATTTTGCTTAGGTGACACAAAACTATGATAAACATTGTGTTTTTATATTGTTACCTAGTTTTAGTTTGCTGGCATCCATGTCTCTTTGGCTCTAGATACACTATTTAAAAGCAAAAGTATTACATTTCTTTAATAGTCTACAAATCCACTTTCTCTACTCATTCACACACATTCATCTCTAATTTGGACTGAAGATATCATCTCACATGAAGATGGCTAAGTAATTAAGGTACTACTTTCCATCGGCTTAGGACATCATTCTCCCCTCTCTCTACAGAGTGTAAGACCGAAATAATCCTTTCCCAGTGAAAGTCTGATTTTTAATTTCATAGTCTTCAAGCCAAAATGCCAGGCTTCTTGCCACAGCACAGGCAGCTCCAGTGCCTGGTGTGCTGAGCTCGTGTCACTGGTGAAAAGTTACCGTTAAGAGGAACGGAGCCGATTCAGTAGGTGATCGTTAAACACCTTTTCTCCCTTCACACACGGCAGTGGGCTTGATTGTTTCAACATTTGAGAGTTTATACCTTCTATTTCACTGTGTATGTTTAATATATTAAATTGATGGGCAAGCACTCATGTTCCTATAACTAGAGTCTCTGAGAAAGGAAATGAAATGAACACACATGCTCTCAAGCGCTAGGAGGGCAGCACTTGGTCAGTTACTTTACACAAGTCCCAAGGGTCCCCAGTGCAATCGAGTGGTATGGTGACAAGAATCACAGCCAGGCAGGAAGGGGAAGAGGAGCCCGCGGGGTGGGGAGCAGGCCACGCCTCCAGCCAAGGCACCAGACCAAGTTCAGCCGGCTCGGCTTCCCTGCACAGCAGGCTGGTGCTCTAGGCCAGTACTCCCACTGGGAAGCAGAGGGAGGAGAGACAGCTGGGCTCAAGGCAGAAAGGACCCATCAGGCTCCCTCTGCTTCAAGAACAGCGTGGCTGTGGAGACAACTCGGCAAAGTATGGAAGAAAAGGGAAACTTACCCGGGGTCAAAAACCCCTGGAGTGCGACAGGTTGGTCCAGAACAGGACTGTAGCATCATCAGGCGATAGTTCATCTTTCCTAAAATCTCTGGGTCTATGCTTTTCGCGATGTTGGTGATTTGCTCTGGGTCTGCAGTCAGGTTATAGACTTCTACAAACACCTACAGGAAGTGGAAAGATGGAGAGAAGAGAGCAGTGGCTCTATGTGCAGAAATACTCCTCCTGTGAATTCTCTCTAAATGGGAAGGGAGGTGGATAAAGACCAAGGCCCCAGGAGAGTATCATCTGGTCTCAAGATCCCCAAACAGCCCAAGGGTGTACACGAGACAGCAGAGCATCTGTTCTGGGTGTTAAATTGCTCTGGGTCTGAGGCGCCCATGCTGGAAGGGGGCCTCGTAATTATGCAGAGAACAGAAGGCAGGACCCTCCAAAGGCAAGGTCTGAGAAACTGGATTTAGCGACAGTTACTGAGTGAGAGTTGACATCTGAAGGTTTCTTTCTGCCTTACAATTGTGAAGATTCAAATGAGAATCGATACGAAAGTACTCTAGCTGTATTACACAAATGTTAAGTTTTGCATTTTAAGAAGCAGTTTGTTATGTCTAACGTCAATTGGGAAAGGATATAATACTGTTATTTCTAACATCAGTCATGTCCGGTATCACTATTTTCCACCCAATCTGTACTTTGTTCTCCAAATTGGAGTTAAATGGCAGACTAGGAAGATGGCAGGTAAATTTTGCCTATAATGGCTTCAAGTGACTGCCCTCAGACTATCACTTATAAAGTAGTCATCAAACTGATAAACATTACGGAGAAAGGGGAACAGGAACTGAGCCTGAGGGACAAGCGCTTGTCCAAAGTGCTTACGAGCTACAAAGAAATGGCAAGAGAGCCAATTTCTGAGAAACACGATGAGCATCGGTTCCATATGGCAAGATGTGAGCTGCCAGATGGGGCAGGGGAGTGCAGGCTGATAAACGCTATGACACCACAAGGGACTGGAGTCCACGTGATCCTTTAGACAATCCACACTGATCCGCGTTGGCTAAAAGCCACCTTCTTCCAAGGATGGAGCCCCTGGTCCTGCTGTTGACCCCACTGCTAATCTACTTCGCAGCACTGGGCTCTGCTGTGACGGGGACAGAAGTTTCTGAACAAGGTGGTTGCCAGCAATCTTTCTAGGCAACGCCTCAACTCCCTTCACCTCCATAGAAGCTGAGGTTTCTCTCACCCCAAACGATCAGGAAGCAAACAGACCAGGCATGTAGCATTTTGAAAAAGTGAAGTGTGCATTTAAAGTGTATGTTTGGTGGGAGCAGAGAAAACCCCATCCAGAAAGGTCATAGTAAAAGACGTGAAGTATGGCTTTCTGGAATTCTATCTTCTTAACTGAAAGAAACCGAAGTGGAAATACAGATAAGAAACACATCTTCCCTGGGGAGCACCCTGAGCACTGCTCTTCTGCCCCCAAGTCCAGCTAACAAAGCGCTGGCAATGGACACAGTCGGGGAGGGAGAGCCCTCTTACCTCCTGGTCATCAAACTCGCAATACTGTAAATTCCACAGCGCCGTCGTGGTCCTCACACAGGCATAGGTGTTGTTATAAGCATCTTCACACACGCAGTCTGGGAAGCATTGCTGAAGGGATATTTAAAGAGTTAAATGAAGACAGTTCTTCTACACTAACAAATGCTCCTGGCCTACACGGGCAACCAAGCCGGACAGAGAACTGGACAGAAATCAGGAAACCTTCCTCAGAGGAGTAAATCAAAAGACATGAGGTCGTTCCTTCCTGCTGGCTAACCTGACTAAGGGACACGGGTGGTGGCTGTTCCGTCGGCAGACTGTTGCCATCCCTGCCTGCTCATCTCCTGACAAGAACTGGCTGTGATGAGCACCTGTGAAACGGACGGGCTGGTAAGAAGAGAAATCAGTACTCCACGAGTCACTTCTAAGGGGTGTTGGGAACTGTCATCCTAAAGGGCTGGAGAAAAGGCTAAAATGAGCTTTGTGGAATCATTTGCAGGTACTTATTTATGAGTGTTCTTATGACTTAGCTCTGTTTTCTTCACATCTTCCATACCAGCCATTGGTTGGCTCTTTACCGTATCCTAACACTGTGGTGTTGGAGCGTCAACTCCCAATGGAAGCCGACCTCCCATCCTCCCAAGTGAGGCCAACACAGCTGTCGGCACCTCCACAACCAGCCTGGCTGCCACCTGCGCAAGACACTCGTGATGGCATGGTGACAGGTGGGAACCCCATCTCTCTGTTGGATGCCGCTGATAACATCCCTAATAAAAAATAGTGCCACCATCAGGAAGAAGAGAAAAACTGGACGGGGTATGGACAAGGTAAGAACACGGCCGTAGGTGCACCTGCTACACAAACTGGAAGTGCACATCCTGATGATAGGTAGGTTGGCAGCAGCATTTTCCGGATTACTGAATTTACCTTTGTCTATCTACTATCTCTCACAGTCAAGCGACAGTCGAAGGACAAAGGAGTAGGACTCAGATGGAGGAGTTCAATACTTGACACACTAAACCAGCGCCTTGCCGTGCTGTCCGTGAGAAAGCTCTCTAAGCCGACTCAAGATATTACTCACAGACACTCCAGGACTCAGGGAGGGACACGTGGGGTCGGTGACGTTGCGGCCTTCTCCTTGATATTCCACCAGGATATCTGACCGCCACGTCAGATTACTGGCGCCTCTCTAGAAAGAAGAGCACAGGTGGTTTCTGTGAGGCACACACTGTGACAGGATCACAGAGTTACTCACTCCACTGCTGAAGGGACTTGGGAGTCAAACTAATTGGACTGTTCATTCGGTAACCAGGGAATGACTAAAACTGATGCATATGAAGGCCACCGATGTCGTGTCCGGGGTTTATAGAGCCCTGACGGGTGACGGACAAATGCTTTGAGCATTTATTTAATAGTTACTTCCCAAGATGACTTCTGTGAACCAGGTCAGGACTGGAAACTGACAAAGTGGCTGAGCAAGACTCAAAGTCACAGTGCCAAGTCCTGATCAGAATAAACAATAGTCGGTAAACTCTAGGGAAGAGCTGTTCTGAGCTCATTCGAAAGAACTTACAGCCTAATACACACAAGGACAAGAATTAAACAAGCATTAAATGAGGCTAGTGTGCTAAGGACTTCAACAGGTTCAAAGAACTTCTTGATGGTCAGAGTGGAGATACCATACATATATGAGCTCACTTCATCTCCAGTGCACATCAGTGGAGCGGAAGGAAAGCAGCAGCATCTGCAACGGGAAGGCTTACGCCAGGCACACGAATAGAAGGAGGAGGGACCGAGGGGTGAGAGGGAGTTTTGAATCAGAAGGAAAACATAAGCAGAGGATGGAAGCAGAACTTGGAAGTATGGTTTCCTGAAGTCCAGCTCAGACACGGAAGCGGTGCCAAGCAGGTCGAGGCAGGCTGCTAACCGTACGGGAAAGGCCCTGACAGCAGGCTGCTCGCCATTCTATCAAGAATGGCAGGTGATGGAGAGGAAGCAATGGGAGGTTTGTGAGCAGGGAAGTAACACGATCAAAGCTGTGCTTTAGAAAAGGCAGCCCAGTAGCGGAATCTAGAGATGGAGTGGAGACGTGGAGACACGGAGATACGGAAACCAGCTTAGAAGGTGCTCTTGACATGGTCTCCAGCCTGACGAGTCAGTCTGGTTTGCGGTCTATCAGCCACACCTGGGAGCTGCTTAGAATTGCACAACCTCAGGCCCTACTCTAGCCGTAATGAGCCAGAGTCTGCGTTTTAAGAAGATCCTCTGGTGAGTCATACGCACAGTAAAATTCGATAAGCACCGCTCTAAAACAGTGGTTCTCAAAGTGTGCCCCCCTCCCCAGCATTAGCATCACGTGGAAACTCGCTACAAATGCAAACTCTTAATTCCCAGTGAGGGTGGGAGCAATCTGTGCTTTAACAAGCCCCACAGGCATTTCTGAGGAACGCTAGTTTGAGAACCACTGCTCTAAGGACTTCGTGGACCCATTTAACCTGGTGACCACAGTGGGGAATGGGTGACAGCCCGTGCAAGGCCTTGGAATACCACAGCTGCCTGGATAGGGAGAGTCAGAAATAGGAGTGTATTTCCTAACTCCCTGTTCTGTAATGAAACCCGAACAATGTGTGCAGATCAAGGTCTCAGAAATCCTAAGTCACAGGAGACTTCAGAAGCCACCAGCTCCTCTCTAAGTAGCCACTCTGAGCCATGGAGGCTGGGAGTGGGGGGACGAGCTTATCTGTCGGACTTGCATGTCAAAGTGCTCAAATGAGAAAAGGGTGCCTGAGAAGTCTAGACCAGTGGTCTCAAACTTTGCTGCACATTAAAATCATGAGGGCAGCTCCAAAACTCCCCGAGGCCGGTTATGCCCCATGTCAATTTGTCAGAGCCTGCGCTGGGACCCAGGCATTAGTATTTTAGTATCTAGGGTATACGAATGTGCAGGCAAGTTTGAGACTAAAGGTCTGGAGGGTCGTTAAACTTTTTCTGTCAAAGGCCAAATAGTAAATATTTAGGGGCTGCGGCTATCTAGTCTGTGTTGCAACTACTCAGTTCTGCTGTTGTAGCAGGAAAGCGGACCTAGACAATACATACACCGATGAGCGTGGCTGTGTTCTCATACACCTTTACTTACAGAAGCCAGGGGTGGGCTAGATTGGCCCCCAGGGGTCTGCCACCCCCTGGTCTATGGGAGCACCACCCAGCAGAAATGTTCTATATCTGACCTGTTCAACACAGTGGCCTCTGAGCACTTGAGAGGTGGCTGGTGCTGCTGAGGAGCAGAACTTTCCCTTTTATTCTAGTTAATTTAAACAGCCATGTGTGGGCAGAGCTAGAGACACGACGGCAACAATGCTCTGCGGCCCTAGCACGGCGGTAGCTTCCCTGGAGTAACCTCGGATCAAGGAAAAGAGCTGAGTCCTCAGTGCCCTTCCAGAGTCGTGCAGAGAAACTAGTTACACACGGCACACTGGTCTGACCCCCACAGTGACGGTGTTTTTTCCTCTAATTAGAAATAAGGTACAAGTATAAGATTTATACAGAGAAAGTTAAAAGATGGACGTTTCCTTCTAACTGATCTATAAATTCAGTGCAATTCCAACCAACAGCCCGACATGATTTTTCAGGTAACTGAAAAGCTGTCTTTAAAGTTTATATGAAAGAGAGGCGGCAAGGATCCCCACAGGAACAATGAGAGAAGTGTGTCCATGCAAAGACAATTATACAGCTTTATGACAAGACAAAATGATGTTGGTACAGCGACAGACAGATCTGTGGAACAGAAAAGAGAACAGAGTATTCATGGAGAAAAAAGTTCAATTGGATCCCTGCCTCGTACCACACAGGAAAATCAATTCCAGGTACATCAAGGGCTTGAATGTAAGAGGCAGAAATACAAAACTTTTAGGAGAAAAGCTGGGAAAACTAGCTTTTTTTTTTTTTTCTGACCTCAAGGTTCAGAAGCATTTTTATAAACATGACACAAAGAAGACTAACCATAAAAAAGATAACTTATACATTTGACTTCTGTGTTCTCATATCTTAACAGAGGGAAAAGACACGTCACGGGGAGAATATGACGGGCCAAGAGAGGCATTTCACAAGGGAAGAAACACAAAAGGCCTCAAGGAACATTGATTCACTTATCAGAAACCCAACTGAAAAATGGGCAAAGGATCTGAACAGACATTTCTCCAAAGAAGATAAACAAACGTCCAATAAACATAAGATGTTCAACATCGTTAGTCATTAGGGAAATGCAAATCAAAGCCACAAGGAGATACCCCTTCACACCATATACAATAAAAATACAGAGAGCAGCAAGTGTTGGCGAGGATGTGGAGGAACAGGAACACTGTCCACGGTTGGTGGGGCGCGTAAAACGGTGCAGGTGCTTTGGTGAACAGTCTGGGAGGTCCTCAAAAGGCTCAACATAAAGTCATGCGACCCAGCAATTCTACTCCTACGTTTACACCCAAGAGAACTGAAAACATTTGTTCATACAGAGACTTGTACACAAATGTTCACAGCAGCATATTACTCATAACAGCCAAAAACGGGGAACAACCCAAATGTCTATCAACTGACGAATGGATAAATAAATGTGACATATCCATATGATGGACTATTATTTGGAAAGGAATAAAATACTGACATGCTACAACGTGAATGACGCTTGAAAACATTATGCTCAGTGAGAGAAGCCATTCACAGAGGCCACATATTGTATGATTCTATTTATACGAAATGTCCACGACAAATCGATAGAGACAGTAGACTGGTGCTTGCCTGGTACTGGAGAGGGAGAAATCGGGGAGAGCTGTTAATGTATTGGGGGGTTTCTTCTCAGGGTGATGAAACGTTCTAAAATTAGATTATGGTGGTTGCACAACTCTGTGAATACAGTGAAAACTACTGAATTGTAAACTTGAAATTAGTGAATTGTATGGTAAGTGAATTAAGCTGTTAAAAAAAAAAATGACTCATCTCATTAACAAAGAAATGCACAGTAGGACCAAATATAAATTTGGCCTTTTTCACTCACTAGATTGGCAAACATTAAGTTGTCTGACAGTTTCATATAGAGCAAAGGGACTTGTCATACATTGCTGGTGGGAATGTAAACTGATGACCATTTTGTAAAATAACTTGGTAATATCTGTAGAAACACACACGTGCAGTTCCTGTAACCTCGGAATATACATACTCTGGGAGACACGTCTAAGAGGGCTAGAGCAGCACTGTTCCTAAAACAAACAGAGCCACACAAATGGCCACTGACTGACAGGAAAAGAGCTAAGCTGTGATGCACTCACACAGTGGAATATTAGGCATCTGTGAACAACTTGGATCAACTTGGAAACAATGCTGAATTGAAAAAAAGTCCCAGATTACATCCAGCAGGTTGTCATTTTTAGAGAGCAAGAGAAGATCAAAACTAGGTATGTTGTTTAGGAATGCGTACATGACAATTACCGAAAAACAAAGTCCAGAGAATGATAACACGAAATTCAGGACCGCGATCACTTCCATGCCAGGGGTGGGATGGGGAGGAGCATGTAGGGAGATACACGTTATTGGGAACATCTGAGTTCTCAATGAAATAATGGGCTCATGGGTATTTCTTGTTTCGTAACTTGTGTGAGTTGCATGTATTCTCTTGTGTGAATCATATACTACCTAATAATAAATAAACTGTAATAGATTCAGACAAGTCAATGAGTAAGCGTCACCTATAATGAGTCACTATTAATGGCTAAAACATTGGTATTGATCCTTCCAATCCTCTCCACGCCTAAACACGTTCACATACATTTTTAGTGGAGAAGAGATGCTGCTGTGACCCCTCCTTTTCTCCCTGTAGTATGTGGGGGGCATCTGTCCAAGTCAGTGTGTACAGATCGATATCATTTAGCGTTGGTTTAATATTCTAGGGTTTCATTGTCCAACACTTTAACCAATTCCCTACTGGATATTTAGGCTGTTTTCTTCTATTAATACTACATGCACATTTTTTATACTTAGCTCTGTGCAGTATCAGGCACATAACAGGTACTCAAATATTTGTTGAATGAATTTTGTTTTCTTAGAATAAACTCCCAGTGGAACTGCTTGATGTGTGTTTTCTGAAGTGATGTCTTGTCAAACTAGCCCCCTGATAGCTTATACTCATTATGCTTTCATGAACAGAGTCTGAGTAGTTTCCATTTTCTCAGACTTCTGCAAATACTGGGTATTAATCTTTTTAATCTTTGCCAGTTCTGCAGGCAATAAAGGCCTCCTTCAGTTACGCATTTCTTTGATCAGCAATGAAGCAATCTTTTTGCATTGACTCTGGCCATTTTTAATTCCTCTGTGAGTTGACCATTTACTTCTTTTGCCCATTTTTCTACTGTGATATTAATCTATGCTTTCTAAGAACTCACCTATTAGGACTAATTAGCCTTTTTCACAGATGTTGCAAATATTTTCCCAATTTTTCACTTGTATTAACTTCGTTTATGATGGGTTTTTTGGGAGGAGAGGGGAAGAAGGGAGGATATAGAACTCTGTTCAAATTTTTACCACCACAGAGAAGAGAAAAATTCTATTCTCTGTTCCCCAAAATTAATAGTTTTAAAATTTAAATTTTTAAGTCCAGAGTTATACAACCTGGAATTTATTTCTGAGTCTTGGCTCAGGCCTCATGGGGGCTTTATACTCACCAAAATAGGCAGTAAAGACATCCCGTCCATCTGTGTCTTATTCAGGCTGTAGCCAGCGATGTCCAAAATAGTAGGACCCAAGTCAATGTTGGCAACGAGCATCTATGAGAACGAGGGAAAAACAAGCAATCGAGAACACAGTTGGTCTGTTTTCCTTTTCTATCTATGCTAAGGCTCTCTTCCCCGCCCACCCCACCCAGGAGATAAACAGCACCTACTATTATCTTTTGTACGGCCCATGCTTACTTAGGTCTTACTGATTCATATACTCAAATATAACTACAATAATTTAAAAAACAAACATAAAGGCTTATAAAGCTTGTAATATATGCCCCTGGGAAGTTACATATTTATTCCACCCATACTGTTATTGATCAAAACATTTGTCAAAACTCCTTTAGGATTGCCTGGAGTCTGTTATGAATCACGAGAAAAATGTGAGGCTAATTATTTTATACCAAGTGTTGTCCAACTTGATTATTCCTATTAGTTCATTAAATTTGACTTCAAACGGACTCTTGACATTTTTGAAAGCCTCAAAGCTTGAATGCTTGCCACAGAGGAGGACATTAGCCCTTTTTATAGTTTCTCAAAGCGAGAACACTGCTAAAACATATTTGCAATCGGCTTTGAAGACTTCAGGAAACCCTGGCCAACAGTGCATCCACACAAGCTGACTTGCACGAGGCGGAGCAGGTTTGCGGAGCGCCTCTTCTGTGCCCGGACTCTCGGTTTATCCTCCTTTATCCTTACCACGATCCTAGGATGCAGGCTTTCCCCCGTCTTACAGAGGAGGAAATGAAAGAAGCAACTGAAACGAAGTCAACAGCTTGTAACTGGAAAAGCTATCATTTGCTGACAGGAAAGAATGGTCTTCAAAATTGTCGAGAAAACTTCGATCGGCTTAGGAGGCCAATTGGGGATTAAAAAAAATCCAGCGTCCCTGGTACTGTTAATTTATAAACAAAACCAAGGGTACAGACGTGAAAGGCAAGAAAATATCTTCAGAGCATAGCTCAGCAGGGGCCAGGTTTCCTGGCAGCTTGGATGGCTCCTGGAGGACAGTGACACACACAGCCTGGCTCTGAACCATCAGTCTAATTCCACAGCTGTCAGAAATGACCCTTCAGTGGCAGGCAACTCACGGGAAAGGCAGTCCATATGTTACTGTGAAAAACCACAAAAACCATGTCTCTAGGATTATACAATCCCCAGTGTTAGAGATAGCCTGCCTAGTTGCAAGTCCCAGGCAGACTAAGCAGCTTGTGACAGGGTCAACGAGAGCGGGTATGAATATGGAAGAGATCACAGCACGAGAGGAGACGAGCAGAGACAGAGACGACCTTCAGAATCAGATCAAGGCAACAAGACCCTAAAGTGACTAACAGATCTCCAGTGATGTCCAGAATGTGAATGAAGTGAAGCCAATTCCACATTACCATGTTCAAGGCAGCTTTATAAGAAAAGAAAAAGGATAAACACCAAAATAGTAAAACCCACAGAAATAAAAATGAGACTACCAGTCTCACCAGGATTTGCCTGAGGAGCCATCAGCTGTTAGGATGGGAGGCTCTCTGATGGCCGTTTGGTCCACAGGGAGGAAGGTCTGGAAGTTGCAGTACAGATCATGTCACTAAGATCTGGCACAAGTACTGTAAACACTGGACTCGTTCTTCCCAGACATCTACAACGATCACATATTCCCTAAGAATAATGGACAAATTCTCTTCCCTTCTAGGGTTTGGTTGGACTAAGAAGTAAAGTCTCAAAATTAGTGTACTGGGGCCAGCCCTGTGGTCGACTGGTTAAGTTCGCGCGCTCCAGTTCAGCAGCCCAGGGTTTCGCTGGTTTAGATCCTGGGTGTGGGCGTGGCACTGCTCACTAGGCCATGTTGAGGTGGTGTCCCACATGCCACAACCAGGACCCGCAACTAAAAAAATATACAGCTATATACTGGGGGGATTGGGGGAGAAAAAGCAGGAAAAATCAGCATACTACGTCAGGAGACAGGAGACTTCTCGTGCACACTGAGTATGAGTGAGGAATTCAACAGAGAATTACACAACCAAGAATCAGAGTGGATGCTAGGGGCCCATCACCATAACGACTTCTAGAAACATTAGCATTTCAAATTGTACTGCTTTTATCGCTAAATATAAACTTAAAGATTCCTTTATGGATTGGAATCGAGAAAGCTCTGACAAGACCAGAAGTAAATAATTTTGTAAGTCCCAGCCTCACAGTTTGTTTGGGAATGTGCTTAGGACTTAAGCATACAGACATTCTGCTCAAATAAAAGCCCCGAGAAGACTCTGGGCATGAAATCAAGGGCTCTCACGCCTTGAACCTGCTTGTTTTTAGCTCTGGAAGAACGACAGGGCTGCAGGATTACTGAAGAGTCAGAGGGCTCTCGGGAAGACACACGGGATTTCCAAACAGACACGGGAGCCCTGCTGCTGAAGAACTCGCGCAGGGCCAGCAGAGACTCGCAGCAGAGGGCAGCCGCTCCATTCAGTCACGAGCACTCGCCACGTCTCAGGCGCTTCCTCTGCATCTGCCCGAGCCCCAGCTTCCCCTGCAAGGAAGGAGCCAGGCCTCTGCCGAGTTACACGCAGAGTTTGCACTTAACATCCTCCCAAATTCACACCTGGAGACCAAGGCTTATTTCATCCGATGTCTGAAAGCCAACATGTGGTCTTCCCGATCCCAGCTGGTTCTGCGTCCCCTGGATCATGTTGGGTCATTTGAGTTTCCTACTAACCTTTCCCTTCCTTAAAACCCTTCTGAACTTCTGCCCTCAAATCTAAAGCTAGATTAGTTTCTAGCCGGAGGCGAAAACCTCAACAGCCAATCTTTGGCGTCCACACATACCACCTGCCCCTGCTCTCCCAAACAGCCAACACAAAGCTAAATCCACTGGTCAGCCGTGCCCTGTTTTGACTGTCAGGCTGTTGACAGCTCAGCCCAACTCACAACCCTGTACCACCCACAGAGCACTGGCACCGAGACAACCGTGCTGCCAACACGTGACGAATCAGCCACCATTCTCTGTGAATGTGGATGAAAGCGGGGGTGTCTCATACTTCTCCAACTACATCTGTCAGCAAAGCAGGGTGAAAAACACGGAGTTTGAGACCAGACATAGTTAATTTTCAGTCCTGGTTCTGTCTCTTAACGGGACCTTGGTGATATCTATTCAACCAACATGGATGTCCCCAGTGCCTGTTAAGGGCTGGGTGTTCTAAGTTTAGATAGTGCTCTCTTCCTGAAACTCCTAGAGTGAGACAGACACGCTCGACAGGGTGTGCGGGTGTGAGCGCACCCACCCCACGTGGGGGCGGGGATCTGCCGTGACTTCCCAGAGGGGAGCCCTACGCTGAAGCCCTAAAGGACAGTTAACTTAGCCAGGTGACGGGGTCATGAGATGGGCGTTCCAGACAGAAGGAGCGGTCAGCCGCACAAGGCAAGGCGTGGAGAGAGGGCTCACTTAGGAAGGGCAAGCGGTTCAGGACACCCACGCCTTCCGTCCCGTGAACAAGACAAGCTCATGCTCTCATCTGCGCCCTCACACCTATGTTCTCTCCGAACGCCCTCCCGCAGATCTCTGCAAGCCGGAGGCCTTCTCCACACCCGGGTCTCTGCTCACACGCCTCCGAGGCATTCACCGACAACGCAGCAGAAGTTCCTGGCTCTGCCTGACACGGGGTGCTAAGAACCGCTCTCCCCTGACTGCTCACGGCTGGGGACCCCAGGCTCCTGGCGTGCTGCACTGGCACAAGGAGATACTTAACAGACAGTTGTCTGAGCTGGAGCGTGATGGCTACTGTGTGGACTCTGGAGCCAGCTGGCCTGAGTCCAAATGCAGGGCTCTGATACGTTTTAGCTACAGGATCTTGGGAAAACCATTTAACTTTGGTACTTCAGTTTCCTCATCTGTAAAATGGGGGTATTAGTATCCATGTCTCATAAGGCTGTGGAGGTTTGAGAAGTTGAACAGGTAATACACTTAGAACAGCACCTGCCCCATACTGAGCGTTCAATGTGTGTTAGCTGTTATCACTGACATGGCTTCCTAGGAACCGGGCTTCATTTAGATTGCTCAGAGGTGAAGTTTCTGAATTTAACATTTGGACACTACTGTTAACTTGAAGAAAGAAGGAACCGTCTGTTCCACGAGCAGCTGCTGCCACTTCTCAATGCTCTCATTCGGGCTCCTTCCCCGCCAGGTTAGAAGTGGTCCTGTGAACCCTGCTCCTGGGAGAGGCAACAGCTGCTGACACGCTCTCCTCAGTTAGCTCCCAGCACCACGACCAATAAAACGTTGTGAACATTTAATGGTCTTCCTAACTTGCCCACCTCCTCTGAATGAAGAGGCCTGTTTAGAGGGTACTGAATTTGCAGTGGGGCCTTAAGAGGAAAAGAAAACTGAGAACGCCATTATGAAGGCCATTTTACCTTTCTGAGAGAATTTTAACAGAATTCCACCAAGAGCATTGTAAAAGGAAATAAGTGAATGACAGACATTTAAACAAAGTAAACATTAAGCCCCCAAATTAAACTAAATCCTCAATATCCCCAGAAAGTCTGCCCCATTTTCCAATTTTAGCTTCAATGATATAGTTGCTTATTTTCTTTTGTCCCACAGACCTGGGACTGAAACTGTGCTGTCAGGAAAGAGAAGACATAACTGGGAGAGGCTGCCAATTCTTATCTCCTGAGCCTTAGACTGAAGGGTTTTGGATCAAGGTGCCCACGAACTCTAGGAACAAAGTTCTTCAGTCTGCAGTACCAAGTCTGGAAAAACACACTGAAACCAAATGGGAATGGCAACAGAAGAATGTGGCGCACGATGACAGCTCTAGGAGAGCGTGAGTAAAGCAGAAAAGCATCGTTAAGGGGGGAGTCCCACAGAGGGAGGGACTAAGTCCTCGGAAGACCTGCTTTCTGTAGACTTTAACTCTCAGTGAGGGCAGACCAGCCACAGAAGCTCCTGGCCGCAGGTGAGAAACGCAGCCTCGGAATCCGCGTTTTAACAAGGTGCCCAGGGGATCTGCTCTACAGGGGAGCGGGCCCAAGCCCCACTGCCTCGCAGGCATCTGAACTTCAGAAACAAGCAGAGGTTGGGTCCCTATTCCAGTCAAGCGAGTCCATCGGAACGTTTCTGGAGGTTTCACAATTGCTGAGGGTGATTGTGATGCGCGCCCTGGTGGACAGCTGCTGCTCCAGGACAAATGAAGATCTAGTCTCAAAAGACAAAAGCTATTCATGCTGATACGATACGTATATTTGGGAGAAAATACAGTTAATAGGGAGTGGCCAGGAATTGAAAAAAAAAAAAAAGGAATCCCTGTTTCCAAGGCTCATGAATACACTAACGAGACCTTAAAGCCATCAGCCTTCATCCTCATCGGAGCAGAAATCCAGCAGCCTCCTCTCAGAAGGAACAGCCTTCCTTCCCCAGGCAAGTGCTACCTGTAAACAGCATCGTCTTATCAGCCGCCTACCTTGCTGGTCTGATTTGGTTTGATCCCAGGCCCTCGAACCAACAGTGGAACTTTGATGTCAAATTCATACAGCTGTCTCTTGTCTATTGGCAAAGAAAACTGTCCTGAAAAAAAAAAACAGAGGGTAAAGATGGAGCCATGATGGAAGTGTGATGCACACATTCATTTGTTTAATCAACAGGAAAAACAAAAACAACTTTCCTCTAGTAATTATAGTGTTTTCATGGAAAGCTTAAATTTGCCCAGGACTCTCATTACTACAAGGCAGGAAACAAGGAGCTCATCTTCTTTAAATAAATGCCTAGGGGGCCTCCCTGGTCTAAGATAGGACAAATTCAGCAAAAAGAATGACTGGAATGAGACACAAACACATAATTTATGTGTGATACTCAACGTGATCACAACTGAATGCGGTTACTCTAAAAACTGCTAAATAAAGGGACAAAAAACGTTTATCTTGAATAACCTGCATTTCAAGACAAACAGTTAATGAGGGGAAGTCCTCCTCTGAAGAATTCCAGCTAAAAAATGCAAAAGGAAGGACAGAGTTATGAAGTCAGCGTTTTGCAATTTCTGAGGTAATAATGGATTTCAGCAACAACCATCAATGGCAGCTTTAGCCACAAAAGGTTCACAGGACGGCTTAAGGCTGATGCCATGTGAGCCAGCAATGAATACCAGCATCCTCAGAAGGGGCCACCACACACTGCGGGCATCACAATGTGATGCAAGAGGAAGTACGAAGCAGTCACCAAGAAAGCGTTCTTGCTGAAAACATAAACTCCTAAGCTTCTAGAGCAGACTACCAACCTAGGAAATGCTGAGTCTAGATAAACAAGCCAAGGCATGAGACAGCAATTAGCCAAATCCAGAATGTGAGGCATTCTAAAGGACAAAACACCAATTTTTCCAATAAATCAGTGGCAAGTGACAGCCTTAGGACACTTAAAAACTAAAGGGAGAGTGCGGACTTTGGATCCTGACACGCGGTAAAGTAGTCAGATGCACACCTGAGTGTTGACGGTGGAATCAGTGTCTGGAGCTTCTTCAAAACCTTCTAGCCAAAAAGAAAAACATGGGGACAGTAGAAGAACTCAAAGGACTGGCCACACGCAGCAGAAAATCAAAGCTGGACAATGGGGATTATTTTATGTGTCTCTACTTTGAGTGCTTAAAAATATTCAAAATAATTCATTGAAGGCCTAATTAATCTGCTCCTATGCAAGCAAGCCTCAGGTTAATTGCATTCAAGTTTATGAAATTGATAGATGGGGAAAAATGAGAACACTGATTTTTAACTACAGAAAGTCCAAGTAGAAAGGATGAACGTCAAGGATATGGGGCTCATACTGCAGGTTTGAAAAGACAAAGAACAAAACAAAAACACACACACAAATGAAAAAAACGAATTTCATGATTTCACAAGGAAGAGTCTTTCCCCCAGGACACTTCCTGTGTAAAGTGTCTCCCCGATCCTCTCAGGCCTACTTGTCCTGTAAATCTGGTTCCATTTCCTACCTCGTAAAGCCTGCCTCCACCCGTCAGGCCCATTCTCTGCTCCCAGCTCCTACGACACTGTGGAATTTAGCAAATAACGACACCTGGTCTCTCTGGGTGGGAATGAGTGGGCCCTGTAAGCAGCAGGTCCTCCCTCTGGCCTGTCCACCCTGTACAAGGAGTGGAGTTCCCTGCCAGTGTGACTGATGGGTGAGAAAGGAGAGGCCCTCATGAAGGTCACAGGGTCCCTGAGCCCGTCCTTACCTGTGTGGTAGCCGTTGTCTGACGTGTAAAAGATGTAGGTGTTGTTGAGCTCCCCATTGAACTCCAACCTCTTGACCAGTTTCTCCACAAGGTCATCAACTGAGAGGAGAGTCTGCCACCTGGATGTGAACGGAGGGCGGCAATGGCACTTCAGAGACAGTGGCTGGGCTGCTGCTAACTCACCGAAAAGCAAAAGCAAAGTCCAAACCCTGCCCTGAAAACCCTCCAGACCACTCTCCCAGGGAGGTCAAATGCCAGATTCCCCTCAAACCCGTTGCAAAAAACAGATCGGAAAATTCCAGAACATAATTAGTTCATTCCAAATCTAACTGTTTCCAAAGAAATACACAAGGCTTTTTATAACCAGTGAGCTTCATTATTATCTTTAGCTTTACTATGGTGATGAGAGTAGAGACAACCAGATGGGAAAGTTGTCAATTCAGTGCTGATGAATACAGATTAATTCAGACAGACCTGTGCCACGACAGTGTTCAGTGGTCTGAGCCAGGGCCTTAGCCATGAGCCAAAGCTGCCCACTCTCTGTTTTTTGGGTTTTTTTTCTGTTTTTAAATTATGGTAAAAAACACACTACATAGAATTTACCATTTTAACAATTTTTAAGTGTATAGGTCAGCAGTGTTAGGTATAGTCACACAGTGAAACAGATCTCCAGAACTCTTTCATCTCACAAATCTGAAAGTCTATACCCACTGAAGGACAACTCACTGTTTTGATAGACATATAAAGTTTCACCGGGACATGGCCACGTGCAGTCAGTCACCTGTTGTCTGGGGTTGCTCTGATGCTCCCAGGGCAGAGCTGAGCAGCTGAGACAGAGGCCATATGGCCTGCAAACCTATAATATTTACTATCTGGCCCTTTACAGACAAAGTCTGCCAACCCCTGGTCTAAACTAAATACACCTCAAGAGAAAGTAATGGATTTTTAAAAATTGACTTGAAAGAACTTCTTGAAAATTCCAAACAGCAAAGGCAAATATTTTGCTGTAGTCTAAGCCTTTGGGTCTTATGCAAATATTGGGGCCTCTCTCTCACACAAATGACCTTTTCTTTAGACACAGGAAATTGTTTTTTTTTTTTTTGCCAAATGGCTCCAGTTTACAGTATGTTTTAATAAGTCATAAAAACGGATTGTTTAATTAGTCCTGGGGTCCAAAGGCCGCCTCATAAACCTAAATGGAAGGGAATCTGCCTGCTTCTGAGGCCTCAGGACCCCCCATCAGAGACTCTCCCCCACCAACCTGCCCCCCTCTGATTTTGTCTCCCAGATAACCACGTGGTGCAGCCCCCCAATCATGGGCTGATCTGGAGGGTCCTAAAGACCACCCAGACTGAGAAAGCAGCAGCTCTTACCTTTTCCTAAAGGCATTATCTAAAAACTGTATTGAAGAATTAGTCATTGGGGTCTTGGCTTGCCGAATTAACCAGTGCTTGTTCTAAAATTCAAAAGAAAAAAACATGTTAACACCAAGTCACCAAGGTCAACGAAACTACTCGAGTAGACAGTGAAAAGGATCATTTTATACTTTAGCAAAAAAGAACTAACTGGAACTTGTATAAGCAACTTTACACTTTCCCTCTCCCCACCTCCCTCCCCTGTGTTCCTAAAAAAAGCTTTCCACAGATTATCACTCATCCTTCAGCTTCTTCCCACCGCCTCCTGAATGGCAGCAGGTCTGGGCTCCTTTGTCAGCAGCATTAATGGGAGAGTGAGTGAAAGACACTGGGAAACTACTGGCTACAACGAGGTTAAATTTAATAACTTTGGGTCTACTGCCCAAACTGCACAATGGGCAATATTAACTTTACCTTCTTCTAAGTTTTGCCTAATAAGTCATCGTTCTACTGCCCTCTATTTTCCTACCCGAGATATTGATCATCCTAGAACCTTGAGAAAAATCTCATCATAGCAATTTCCTAAAACTTCAAGTCCAAATCAAAGTGTTCTTTTCCTTAAATAAAAAAGTCACAGTTTCAAAAAAACACACACATTCCCACACACCATTAAGTCTCCTCTATATTCATAAAACTCTAAGCTGCCATCTCCCAAACTACGATTCTGAAAGTGTCCTTTAGTTAATATTGAGAAATTAGTAAATTGAGAAATGCTATACAGCATATCCTCCTGTTGGAAATTCAAAGAACATGCATTGCTGAGAAATCCTGTAGCAGAGTGACTTATCTACCTAAAGTTTCTAAACTTACTTGGTCCCAGAAGCTTCTATTAGCTTCTTATGGAACACAGTTTGAGAATGGCCCTCTCCTTTAAAACTCAGTTCACTCAGCTTTAAAATAATACTTAACAAGCACAAGCCTACAGTGTGCCACGCAGTATGCCAGATGTTTCTATGCACTTTAATCCACACAGCAGGTGCGTGAGGGATCAGGATCTCCCACTTCGGACAGAAAAATGCAAGTTCAGCGTCTTGCTCATGGTCAGGCAACTGAGTTAGAAGGTGGGAGCGCTGAGTGTAACTCCAGGACTCCTTCTCCCACTTCACAAGCATGAAGATTTCTGAGTGACAGGCAGGAGGCAGGAGAGGCGTTCTGCCTCTGAACCAGTGAACTGCGTGACCCGATGCAAAGGGAAGGGTAAGAGGCTGGCATGAGGCACACTGAGGTCTGAGCCCTGGCTCATTTCTCCCTTCAACTTCCCTTCCCTATCACACTGCACCGTGTCACCCCTTTCCTGTGCCTCAGGTCCGGTGAGGGCCACACCAGGGAGACTGCTGCAGGCCCAGCGAGCCCGAGGCCCGAGTCTCAGCCACTGCCTGGCAGGAAGAGAGTCAGCAGGCAGGCTGGCAGGAGAGCCCGCAGTCAGGGAAGACGGCACTCTGTAACACCCGCTGTGGCTCTCGCGCTCACTGGATGTGCAGCAGGAGCCTTACCTGTACTGCAGAAGCACATTCACCTCACCCATTGTACCAGACAGGGGCAACTACCTCTAAAGATCTGGAAGGGAAACTACATGGCTCAAAGGCTCCCTGACAAGTCTATTGTACAGGTAATTATATCGAGCATGGCTTAATTAAAGGGTTAGGGAAAGCTACCGTTCCATGGATGTTGAAGTTCTTGTTTCTTGGGGCAAAGACATTCTGGAAGGTCTTCTGGTACTGAGGCGCGGCTGTCCACGGTGAATGAGGAGCTGGAGTGGAGATCATCATGAAGAACGGCTCAGAGTTGGACTTGTAGTCGAGGAAGTCCAAGGAGACGTTAGCCTGACACACACAAAGATCCGTCATCGCCTACCCTACCCACCACTGAGGACCTGACAGATGCGTGTTCGCTGGTCAACACAAGGTACAGGGTCCCAGGAGCTTCTAACCAATCTCAGCACACAGTCACCGTCATCTGCAAGTCTGCTGGAAGATTTGGCTTTTAGGCAAAACTTACAGTAAAAAATTGAAAAAGCACACCATCCTAAGAGAGCAATTAAGATCTTGATTCTACATGATCTGAAACCGCTGTGCCTCCCAGAAGGAAAGAAATTGTAATCTGGCCACTTTAGTATTAACTTACATTAACGCAGCTTAGAGTGTACCCATTTGATGTCTTAAAGAATATAAAAAGAGAGTCAGCCTAATTCACGACAGGGGGAAAGGTGGCTTAAGTCATCTTAATCTTACAAAAGTAGGTAAAGAGTAGGTATCAGAAGCTATGCCAGCTCAAGCAGCTAAGCTAAATGAACAGTACGAAATCCAATACCTCACACCAGCACTTCCATTTATATGGACTTACATTTTCACTGACTTATCTGGAGGTACTTCGTAAAAAGGAAAGCACCCCCCGTGCATGCTACTTTTTGATAGTTCTAGCTGATTTATACTTTCATGTATTCCCAACGCTCAGCGCAGAAGACACTGACTGTGTCCCTTTCCTATCTCCAGCCCCCTCACCTGCTTCACTCGGGTCCTGTCGGAAACCCTGTAGTCTCTCCAACACGCCAGGCGCCTCACACTCTGTGTTCCCTGTCTGCGGCACTCTCCCCTCATCTGTACAGCTCACTCTCACCTCCTTCAGGATTTTGCTTAAAGGTTATCTAAGTAACCCCTATACCTGCCTCATTCCTCTAACTGATCACCACCTAACGAGTCAGCAGATGAATGTGCACGCACACACACGGGTAAACAAAATCTACCACGAAAAAGTGACCTTCCATACACTCAGGGATTGGCTTCATCTACTGCTGAACACCTGCTGTAATGTGGCTGAAGTATCTAGTGAACGAATGCTCTACAGACGGCTGTCAATAGAAACACCTTAGACAGCAAAGTCCCCAATTCACCAGATTTTAGCAATTTTTATATATAAGTACACAACGCCTGAAGAACTCCCATATCCCTATCCCTCCACCCTCACGACGAAGCCGCCATGTCTTGTAGCTTGTGACTAAAAATGGGGTCATGAGGGGCTGGCCCTGTGGCGTAGTGGTTAAGTTTGCGTGCTCCACTTCGGTGGCCTGGGGTTTGCAGGTTTGGATCCAGGGTGTAGACCTAGCACTGTTCATCGAGCCATTCTGTAGTGGCATCCCACATACAAAATAGAGGAGGACTGGCATGGATGTTAGCTCAGTAACAATCTTCCTCAAGCAAAAAGAGGAAGATTGGCAACAGACGTTAGGTCAGGGCCAATCTTCCTCACCAAAATAAATAAAATAAGATAAAATATTGGGGTCAACAGCAGGAACCCCTAACAAAGTAAAACCTCTTGAAAGTAATCTCTGTAGTCTTAGAGATTAGCCTTTGGAAAAGGGATTTGTTGCTGGAATTTCAAGAACATTAGATCAGAGCCCGGCTTACAGACGTACAAAGAAAAACAGTCTCAGGAGTTTTAACCAGTTGGAAATATTCTCTGGTAGTCTGACCAAGTTATTATTCATTCCTATCACCCCACACGAACAAGTACAACTCAGGGTTTCTAGGCGGGGTCTTTAATCAAACGTGAGCCAGATCTGCAAGGACCGAGCTTCCGTAACTCACCAGAACGTCAGTCAGGTAGTCCACACTGTAGTTTTCACCATGCTTCCGCGCCTTCCCGTTGATAGAGAGGGTATAATTATAGTATTTAGAATTCTTTTCCTATTAAAGAGAGGAAAGTAAAATTTGTTATGAGGTCAGCACACAAAATCAAAGTTGGAAACCATGCTGGGCTAAACTATACTCTGTTTAAATAGTGATAAGACATGAAAAAGAGGTAATTCCCGTCATAAGCCACATCACAACGTTTCAGTCAACGATGGATTGCACACACGACGGTGGTCTCATAAGATTAATGCCATACAACCTAGGTGGGTAGTAGGCAAACCATCTGAGTTTGTGTAAGTGCACTCTATGACGTTCACACAGTTAGGAAAGCACCTAGCGACACATTTCTCAGAACGTACCCCTGTTGTTAAGCGATGGATGACTATACTTGTCAATGTCGAACTGGATTTTTTGACTAGGGTTTTATTAACTACTGGCACAGTTTCAATAACTGTCTAGTTTAAAAAGCCAGAAGTGGATCAGGTCAAATAGCAAAATATGTTGCTAAACCTTGTGCAATGAAAGAAAAACATCCCGCAAAGGAGTGACTCACAAATCATGACTTTCTTTTAAGGAGATAAAACAGCCAATCATACAAGCAAACCAAGTTATGTCCAGATCAGAGCTAAATTAGAAAGGAAACATATTTTGCGCCTGTAGGGCTGTGTGTAATTGTCACCGACTTGAGGAGTCACTCACCAAGGCATACCAGTAACTCCAGCCCAGAGGAACGTGCTCGAGGCCACCTGCATCCGGGGCTCCATACTGAAAAGCAAGACAAGCAGGACGTGAGAAGCCCTTCGACAAGACCACATCAGAGAGAAACAGGGAACTTTCAGCATCTTTTTAGATCAGTGTCTGAAACACGGTAGGTGCTCAACTTTCCCAAACACATGAACCAGTAAGAAAGCAAAGAACACTATAATGCTAGGAACTTCGGACGCAGGAGTTGGCAAACTATGGCCAGTGGGCCAAATGTATCCCGCCAACTGTTCTGTATGGCCAGCAAACTAAGAATTTGTTCCAACCATTAAAAAACATAAACACCAATCGAAAGAAGAATATCATGTGACGGTTAAATGAAATTCAAACTTCAGTGATGATGCAGTTTCACTGGAACACAGCCATGCTCACTGGTCTGTGTGACGTCCGCCTGCTTTCAGGCTCCAGTGGCAGATCTGAATAGTCACAGCAGAGACACATGGCCCGCAAAGCCTAAAATATTTACTTCGGGCCCTCTACAGAAAAAGTCTACATGGCTTAGGCCACAGGGCTCATTTGCTGAGCTGCTAATGGCATGGACGGAATAGTCCAACTGACCTTGTCGCTAACAGCAGCAAAATAATCAGACTATGAGCTATCAGCTTGGAACTTCAGTTGTCCTGCTGATGACACTGACTTTGGAGCTCAATTTATCTGACGAGATGAGTACGTGACCAGACCACAGAATCATCCCATTTTACCACCACAAGGTTTAATACTGCCCATTTAAGGCAGAATTTAATCCCTGAGAACTGTATCTTTGTACTTTAGAGAATTTTTCCTAATTTTGTGTGCACGTTAGATGATTGTTAACATACAAAGTAGTATAAGTTCTCTTTATGACCCAGAGCCTAAACCCAATGACCTAGTATCCATACTTATTTCTCATGATTCTTTCCAAACTGTCTCATCTTCCTGCAAACTCACAAGGCTGCACGTTCTCCCAATTACTGACAGGAGGAGGAGAATTAACAGAAAATTCAGATCAGATATTAAGATCTCTAGCAACCACAGATAAAGTATATAAGAAAACGTACACCTTCTCTTTGTCCTGCATCCCCAGTTTTACTCTAAGAGATAACCCCAAACACTCTCAAATACGCTATTTCTTTTGCGCTTGAACTCTGACTAAAACCTAAGGCCAACGTGGTGGGCTTGAAGCCAGGAAATCTGGCCTTGGCAGGTCACAGTGAGGTACCCTCCTTCCAGGCCCACGAGGCCAGCACACCAGCCACTTGGCTGTGTGTTTTAATGGCCGGAAAGTACCAAGCTCTGCGTGTTTTCCCTTTATCACTGAGCTGTCCACATTTTTTCCGCATTTTTCAAGTTAGAAAATGGGTTACACATTAAGTCGTTGTAATTCAGGAAAGATACTAAGAAGAAAAAATTCTTCACTCTGATCCTGATAAAGGGGAAATGGAAACAAAGATACTGTGACGGCCACATGACCGGCAGAATTCTTGAGGAAAAGGGGAAGACGCATCGGACAGCTGCCATCCTAGGGCAATTTCTAAAAAAATGCTCCTGAGACCATTAAAGGAAGAGCAACTACAACACCCGGATCATGTGAGTAAGCTCTTACTTAACGGGCAGATTAGGAGAAAACAACATACACCAAAAACCCTTTAATGTGACCTGAATGGATGCTAATTAAAAAACAATTAACATGAATTACATTAATGCACATTTAAAACACTGCTAGTAAAAAAAAAAAAAAGAAAAAAAAGGAATAATTAGGCCATTCAACATACCTCATTTAAGTATTTCCCTGCAAAAAAGGTTTGATAACCACACATGGACCTGAGAATTGCTGGGAAAGTATTAGGTTCCTGGATCTTCTGCCAAGACTTGCTGCTGCAGTTTCCCTCTAAGGTGTTGTTGACCACGTGGTGGTTATGCGGGTACTTTCCCGTCAGGATACTCGCTCGGCTCGGGCAGCAAAGAGCACTTGGCACGTACTACAAAGGAACAAACGCAAGCGAAGACAAGTTACCTGAGAAAGATGATTTCCCATCATTTCTAGAGAGAAGAAGGAAAGCTGCTCAAAACTCTAACTTCTAGCTGCCCAGGGAATACAGATTTTCTTCCCACGCGACACGCTTCAGAGCTGCTGTCCGTCACACAGTGGAGACGGTAACGCAGGTAAACCGAGAGAACGGATTTCTTTCTCAGCTGGTCTCCTTCTGCAGGATAACAGCTATTCTAATCTCATCTGCCAAAGAAATATTTCCATGCACGGAGCACAGCAGGGTGGGAGGGAGGTCTCAACCAAAGACAGAGACTACCCCTTGACTCTAACATGGCTGAAAAGGAGAGGTTCATTTTCAGGCTGATCTGTAAGTATACATTTCCCGTATCACTTTATACCCTGGACACAGACGTTTTCTTCTACTGTAATCGTGTGTCCATTAGCTACTGTCGTCAACAGACTTACTCCATCCTACCCGATAACATTTGTATACGTCTTAACATACGTCACCAGGTCACTTTCCAGAGGGTGGGACGAGGTTCTACCTGCACCAGCAGGGAAAGCACACTCATTGGAGCACACCCTTGCCAAAATTACATCTTAGCCTTTGTAAATACTTAGCCTTTCTTTGGCCTTTCAAATTGGATTTGGTATTTTTAAATACTAGCGGGGATGGACGTTCTCCACACGCGTTCTGACCAATTCTGTTCACGGAATGGTCTGTTCACCTGCTTCGTGCATTTTTTCCTCCCGGGCTGTTGGCCTCTTGTTACATAAAATTTGAGCTAAGGAAGGATTCCATCATGTTACAAATACTTCATGTTTTTTACTTTTGCTTTTTAATTTTGTTAGCTGTTTGAGTTTTGTAATTTTTATACCGGCAAGTCTTTTCTTTCCTCTTCTGTTTCACGACCTATTTTTTGGCCAATACCACACTGTTTACTGCATCTTCATATTATACTTTAGTATCCAGTAGAGCAATTTCATCCTTTAAAAAAATTACCTTGATTGTTTTAACCTAATTATTATTCCAGATAACTCTGAAATCACTTAATTCAGCCTAAAGATATCTTGTTGAGATTCTGATTAGAATAAACATTTCATAATATTCTATCTTCCCCCAGAAAACGATGTGCATATCTACATATTAAGTATTTTTATTGTAGCACTCACAAAGTTCTGTTACTTTATTTATAGAGGTCTTAACCTTTATTGGCCACCACCAGCTGTTCCTAGAGTTTGTATTTTCCTGCTGTATGAATGGGATCTTTTCTCCCCCTATATTTCGCTAACTGGTTATATGGAAAAAAGTTATTTTTATTTTTTTCATTTCTACCTTACTCAATTCTATTAATTTAAAAAGTTTTCCAACAATTCTCCTGTGTTTTCAAGGGAGAAAATCCAAACAGGCGGAAATAATAATTTTGTCTTTTTCCAGTGGTTTTACCTCTTAACTCCATAAGCCTTTGCCAACGACTAGAGAGTTCAGAACATTAAGTGGAGGTGGTGGGCCTTTGTCTCATCCCTAATATTACCCTGAGTCTTCCACCTTAACTGTAAGGTGTGCTATCTGCTTGAAATAGTCATCACAGTAAGGATGTACTCTCCTAACAGTCTAATAAATTGTCAGAAAAGGATGCTAAAACTTCAGAGGACTGAAAGCATCTATTGAAATGAACATCTCTCCCTTCCTTCTTTCAACTACTGATAGCGTGTTAGTGGACGACTGAGACAAGTGTTTACTTTACATGTATCCCTTCATCTAACCTCACAAAAACCCGGACAGATGTTTTAGTACTCCCATTTACAAATGCGGAAACCAAGGGCCAGAAAAGTTAATAACCTGCCTGAGGTCACAGACCTAGAAAAGATGGAGAGAGAGCATTCAAAACTAGGCGATCTGGCCCCAGAGTCTGTGCTCTTAGCACAACACTACGCTGCTATTCAATGGATTTCCCGACATTAAGCTAGGCTACCACTTACTTGGTTATGTGCACAGTCTTGAATTTGACATTCATTTTTTATTTTTTTGCTGAGGAAGATTCGCCCTGAGCTAAGATCTGCTGCCAATCTTGCTCTATTTTGTATGAGATGCCTGCCACAGCATGGCTTGATGAGCAGTGTGTAGGTCCATGCCTGGGATCCAAATCTGTGAACCCCAGGCCACCAAAACAGAGTGTGCAAACTTAACTACTATGCCACCAGGCCAGCCCTGATTTGTTAGCATTTTATTTTGGATATTTGCATCTACATTTATATATATATATATATATATATATATATATATATATATGTTTCTCTCTCATACACACACACACACATATATAGTTGTTGTTTTGGTTTTTTTGCTATTATCTCTCTCAGGTTTGGCTATCAAGGTTGACTGGGCTTTGTCAAGTGGCCTGCAAGCTTTTACCGTGGAACAGTTTACACAGCATGAACCTTACTTGATTCTTACAATCCACTTTCAAACCCCAAACAGTGAGGTTTTAAGTAAAATTCTCTAGTTCTGAGTTGTAGATCAGACTGGCTTAGAAAATACCTGCAAATCATCTTCAATTGGTAAGACGTAATACTTCAATTAAAAGAATTTGTATCACATTAAAGTCCTTCCTTCAGATCAGGCATTTAACCAGAAAAAAAAACACACTGATTACCCAAAAGAGAGTGTTCCTTCCCAGAACATAAACACAATTCAAGTGTAACAAAATTAAATGAGCTTCAAAACTTACAGCGCTGGAGAAGGTCATCCCCATCTCCCCGATGAGAGCCTTGGTTTTCTTCAGCGGTGTCTGTAAAATACATTACCTGTTAAACAACTCCTTTCAGTAAACTAAAACACACAGATCAAAATTTGCGTCTTTTGCATCTTACTCTCAACCTTTTACTCCCAAATGGTCAGCTCCGTCTGACACTAGGAAACACTCAAGAGAGTCCTGTGCGATTCTCAAGATGAACTAAGCAGGTCTGGCTACAGTCTGTCATTTCCTGTGCAAAAGTTCAGGGGTCATCAGGCTTGGAGGGAGGAAAAGTTCCCAGCCGATGGCATTCTTCTAGCAACGCGGATTTCAATGTAATGAAATGTTAGATCCCTTTTCTCATTCGTCACCTGCCCCCTTATGAGAGAGAGAGGGTAGAACTACCTGTATCAATTCATCTTTAGAAGCAGGATGTGGGAAATGATATGAAGGAAACCTTCCACCTTTTAAAATAGAAATAAGATAACACTTAGGTTCCGAAAGCAAGACAAGGCCCTGAGGCTGAGACTGACTCAAATATCAGACATTCAGTGGTGGAGCCCAGAGGCAACTTTAAGCTCACGGCCCTCTGGAGCAGACCAATCACCTCCTCGGGTAAGGACTAGACCAGGTGTCAAAGAGGTGTACACAGAACCCCCGTCGAGCAAAAGACTAGTCAGAAATGACTCTGTTTTTAGCCTTGATTTTTATCTTTTGTTCAAAAGGTAAGATCCTGACAAGTATAGAGAACAATTAACCTCAAATCCTAGGGTGAAGATCAAAGTATGAAGATGGTCATTTAAACACAAATAAAAGGAACACTAATAATCTTTTTCAGATTCTAGACAAGAATGAACCACTGAAGAGGCTCATTTTAGTTGTACTCTATGAGTCAGTTCATGAGGATGCCAAAGGACCTTTGAAATCTAAGCCCATACTGAATGCAGTTTTATGTATATTTCGTTGTGCAATAATTCCTTAAAAATAATCCAAATATACAACCATGTTAACAAGAGCCTCATCTTGACTATTGTCTAACCGACTTTTCTCCATTGCTTTATACAGATAGTAGAAAACCTAGGGAACCCATCAGCTCAAAAGGGTGAGAATTCTAACTTATTCAAGAGCTCTGACAGTTTCCTGAGCAGATCCATAACAGTTCCCAGGAGATGCTAGCGATCCACAAGGTCTTTGCTAACCTTCAGAAGCAAGGTCAGCAGTCATGATCTCCCATGAAACATCACTGAGGGCTACCCTCAGGTAAAGAACATGGGGCTGAACCAAACACTGGTTGATGAAGAACCCGAGTTATAGTGAGGGCCTGGGGAGGGGAAATGAGAATGCCAAGGGTAAGTGGGGAAAAGGACCATGTGAGTTGATGATATGGGACTCGACTGTCAAACTGGTAAATATGCAAAGCTACCGAAGAATATCTGACTTACACTAAGACTATACTGTGTGACTATAACCCATTTGTTAAACACTGAACATGTGCCTGACACTGATCGAGGCACTGGTGGACAAATGGCGGTCCCTCCTGATCCCTGTACTCTCGGGGACTTAACTAACAGGTAAACAAGCGTTTCAGGCGTGACAAGCGCTATGAACAGAATAAACCAGCATGATGTGCTCGCAGCGGGTGGGAGGAAGGCAGAAACCACTTTAGACGGGTGGGAGGAAAGGCCTCTTTCAGGAAGGAACTTTGGTACTGAGAGTCATGTGATGCGGAGTGAGCCACACCAAGGTCCAGGAGCAGATGCTTCCAGCCCGAGTGAGCAGCAAGGACGAAGGCTGTCAGGGAAGGAAAGAGAGACACGGGAGGGACAGAAAGAAGGCCAGTGTGGTCAAAGCAGCACAGTAAGTGAAGGGGAGCGTGGGGTTAAGACAAGCTCGGAGAGTCAGGCAGGAGCCAGAAGATGATGCATGGCCGCGTGGGAATCCAGATTTCAGGGCAAGTAAGAAATCTGTATTAACAACCATAATCTACACTGCTAATAGTAGTACGAGTGATAACCATAATCTGTGCTTAATCAAACAAGTCTGAAACAAGAAACCACACTGTACTGAAATGTATACATGTGTCCACGGAAATAGGAAATGCTAAAAGGGATCCATAAGATCTAAGCAAAGATGGTGACTGGTCAGGTTCAGGCCATACAACGTTCTCTAGGAAGCAGCCAATCTCACACTCGTACGTGGGGAAATGTGTTACTTTACTCATCTGAAGCAAAATCCCTTCCAGAAGAATCCTCAGGAGTCATTTACTTTCCTGGCTCTCACGTATGGCTGCGCTGAAATAAAGTTTTGACAATTCTCATGATTCTATGGCTAACTTTCCTTTTAGCAAATGGAAGACCACTTTGCTTTAAGCAAAGCAAAGACACGATGCATTTATTCTTCCCTACATTTCATCCCAGCTCCTTCCCTCACTTCCCTGAAGTTTCGAACAAATGTCACTTTTTCTAGATGGATGATTTTAACAAGAGCAACCTGTGCTTCTGTGAAGAACAGTGTGTCCATCACACCATAATGACCTTCAAGTAAAATCAAGAAATAGATAGGAACAGTTCCTTGGGCAAAAAAAACTAAAAACGGAGTCCCACAGATGATATCTTCAAAAAAAAACAGTGAAATGGTGAAGATGACGCTCCCCCACAAAAGTCTATTTCAAAGGTGATGGAAAGATTCCACATAAGCCACAATCAAACACGTCCTATGATCCTCTGACCTGAGTTAGTGTGGGGGATTGACTACTGTTTATTTTGCCAACTATGGCAGCCATTTATAATCTTTTTTGGGTCAGACACCTCCTCTCTCCACAAAATAAAAATACACAAAGTATTACATGTAAATTAAGGCGTTCCATGACCCCATCGACGTCCCTGAATGTCACCTGAAGAACCTTTGCTCTATGGTACAAGTGACTGTGCTGATGTGCATATGTAGAATGCCATCTGGTAAGTGAGTATCATCACAGAATTCTAGAAGAGGAGAAAAAGCATGGGGCTCTGAGAGCCGAAGACTCTGAGCTTTGCCCTTTATTAGCTACACGGACCTTGGTCAAGTCACTTAACCTCCGGGACGTCTTAGTTTCCTCTTATTTAAGATAAGGACGACAGCTATAGCAAAAGACCCCTGTGATGAGGCACAAGTGTAAGACACCTCACACTCTGACTGGCTCCAAGTCAGTTCTCAAATGCCCTCACTGTCTTCACTCTCTCTTCAAGTCCTGTTTGACAACTAGTGGTAGAATACTCTGAAAAGGCTAGTAGAGAAGCCAGAATTCTCTAGAGAGGTGGGAGCATTCAAGTTGACTTGTCATTCCCTGCACTCAATTTTTGCTCCTCTCTCCAGCATAAACACCACTAAGAAAGAATCTGCTGCTGGTGTAAAGAGACAAAGGGGATTACCGTGCTACGGGGGAGGGACCTCAAATACACACACCACACCTGTGGTCGACAAGAACTGATGGAACTGAATTCTGAACGCCTTAGAGTAAAACAATGAGTTTTGTTCTCAACAGAGACGTGGAAGGCTGACCTTTTAATTCAGGCTTTAGTCATAAGCTATTATTCATTTCTGATGGAAATTTTTTTTTTCAAAGGAGTTCTGTGAGGAGGATAAGTGTAGTGGTTGGAATGGTGGAAAAAACAAAGTAAAATCCAGGAGGGCAATTAAGTTAAGACTCTCAATGTCAACGTGGCTGAGTAGAAACTAAAAGACCATGAGGCACATGTGGCAGGAAGAAGTGTGGAGTCAAAACGCAAGCATCTTAAACACCATCTAGAAAAGCTCTCATACTCTTGAACAGAGGCCCGAGTAAGAAATACATTTTAATTCACAACCCAGAAATACATACATATGGATATGCTTACCTTTACCACATGTCCCACACAGACCTTTTCTATTCTACTCTATTCCGCAGGAAAGTAAAAATGCTGGTAGCTACTCAACGAATTTCACAACTCCCTCTCTGGGCTGATGAGCAGTTTGAAGGACACTGACCTAGAGGGTTACTACACAGAGGAAGTTAGGGACCGCCTGCCTCCAGTGTTTTCACAGTCTCAGCATTTAGCCAAAAACAAAAAGAGAACTGAAAGGAAGAAAGCGATAAAGCATTTGTCTTTAAGAAGATAAGACGAATGCCACCCAAGATCAGAGCACTCCTAATGCCTCAGCCACCCATGGGCCTCGGGCAAGCCACTTTCTGGGCCTCCACGAGCACCACGGGGTTGGGTGCATGCTTCTGAAGGTCATAAATTCCAGAACTCTAAGATAAAGAAGCAAAACTGACTCCGGGAAAGAAAGGAGTCTTATGACAACACCCTTCACTATACAATGGAACACTGACAGTATCGAACGCATCAGCCAGGTGTCCAATTAGGCTAATTGAATTTGATTCTTGCGAGGCAAAGCACACGCTGAACAGTTCGACATCCTACCTACCAACCGCATAAGTGCATTTCAGCACTTATTTTACAAACATCAGGCACAGACGCCGTACACAGGGACAAATGCAGAGGTGGCCTAGGTCCCCTCACAGAGGGGGCTGCTCTCGTCCTCTGATCCAAAAGAAAACCCACTAAGGCTTCCGCGCTCTTGGCCAGCACCTGCTCCTCGGTGGTTCAACCCATCACTAACTGGCGTTCACACGTTTGTCATGAGACGTGAACGCAAACTCGGCAGCAGTAAGGTGCAGGCTAGAAGCTCCGTGTGGTGCGTGCATATGTGTCAATCAGAAGAGATGCGGGAGAAAGAGGAGCAAAGAGAGTCCTGCGGCCCCTCAAGACCCGCGTAAAGGGCCTGGCGTGGCAAAACCAAACCTGCCCGGGGTCCGGGCAGCCAGTCCAGGGAGTCGGGGTGGGGATGGGGCAGGAGGCGAGAAACCAGGGAGTCCGCCTGGAGATGGAGGGGCGGGGCAGAAAGGGAGAAGAGTTACCATGCCGCCGAGCACTTCGTCCTGGTCGTCGGTGAGGAGCAGCACCACGTTGGGCCTCCGAGAGCCTGCCGCCGCCCCGGAGACCCCCAGGCAGCCGCCCAGCAGCAGCGGCAGCAGCAGCAGCGGGCTGCAGGAGGGCAGGTGGCGGGGGCTGCCCCGCCGGGGCCCACCGGGGGCCAGAGGCAGGAGCCGCATGGCGGCCAGGGCTCCGGGGGCCCCCGGCACGGGTGGAGGGACGCGCCGGTGGCTGAAGAGCGAGAGGCTGGCGAGGAGGAGGAAGACCGGGCTGGACGGCGCAGGCCGGGGGCGGCGGTCAGGCGTTTTCTCCCCGGGCGCGATCACGTGCGCCGGGGCAGGGGGCGGGGCGCGCCGCGCGGTCACGTGACGGGCGGCCGCGGGGGCGGGGCTGCGGGCGGAAAGGGCTGGAAACCCGGAAGCGGGCGGAAGGCGGGTTCCGCTGGTCTCAGGCTCAGGGTCGGTTGGCTGGGGCTTCTCCGGGGTCTGTGTCCAAGAGCTTGGTGCAAAGATCAAAATGGAGGGCAGATAAAACCGAGAGGAGAAGGGAATCAGCGGACAGCCAGCGATTAGGAGGAAGGGGGAATGTGCCTATAGATTGTAAGATCAGCTGGTGGCCAGGTGGGCCGTGCAGAATTTAATCCCCGAGTACTTATCGACGGCCCTTGTGGTATTCAGTTTTCTCGACAACTCAGCTATTACATATGGAGCTGGATTTCGAGTCTGCTCTCTCAACGCCAAGCCTGGTTACGCTATTCCTCAGCTGATGTAGTGGTTTCAAACGTGTTAGGGATATCTCGACAACCTAATATTCCCTGGTGAATTTTTCAATATTTTCCCTAATATTTCTGGATGGATTTTTGAAAGCCCTCTTAGAAGATGATGGAGAATGTGCACCTTGAACAAAAACAAAACCCCTGAAACATAGTCATCCGACCACGTTATTAACTAATCTTTAGGGAGAAAATTCCATGAAATTAGGGCTCCCGATATTTCTGTGGTAGCTCTAGAGCCGCTGTAAGGGTAGGACCCCTCTGCAGAAGTCTGTGCAGACAGAAATACCCTTGGCAAGGTGAACCATCAAGCCTCATTCCCAGCTCAGACCAAGAGTCTGTACCTCGGGGCTCCTGACAAAGAAAGTGTATTTTCTCTAAGCAGGACCTCCCGACAAGAAAAGCCTTAAAACTTGTGAAAGCGCTGGACTATACGGTAAAAATAATTGTGGAAGCGCTTCGAAATGTCATCTATACAACCATAAGGCTTATGCAAAGGAAGTGTTGTCTTCGTTTTATTATTTTTTTAAAAAAGTAAGTCTACAGAAGGCAAGAGAATCTTTTAAAAATGAAGTCGAGTTCCACTGCAAGAAAGAATTTTGCTGGAAATCTGGTCAGAGAACTTCCCAGATGGCCAGGCTGTGGGGTTACAGTCTTAGGCTAGGCTAATTTTGCACACTGGTAGAATAACTAACTCTTGTGTGTTCATATTCCAAGACTTCCAGGAAGACTTCTTGCACAAAAACACCCTGTTCCATCTGAATTGATGCCCCCAATTGTAAAACTGTACAATTGTTCTAGGTTGAAGGCTAGACTATAAATTATTTGAGGCCAGATATTGTATAATTAGGTGCCAACTTTGTTTCAGATGCTAGCTGAGTGCTGAGGAGACGCTGTCCCTCCTTCATGGAACTTGCAGTCTAGTGGCAGAAATATACAATCTACTAATCACAGAAGTATATAATTACAAATAGGGAGACACGCTATGAAGGAAAAGGAAAGGGTGCAATGAGCATTTAAGGAGGTGGAGGGTTGACCTAGTCTAAGGTGCCCCGAGGAAGTAAACTGTGTGGCAGGATGAAGTTTAACTAGGAGATAATCTGTTAATGGAATAGTGGCATGGTAGACTGTCTCCTAGGCACAGAATACAGCATGTGCAAAGGTCCTTCGGTGGTGCATTCAAAGAACTAAAAGAAGCCAGTGTGGTTGGAGTTGAGGGAGAGAAAAGGGAGAAGTCGGCAGGGCCCACTACGTTCCGGATTTGGGTCTTTATCCTAACGCTAATGGGAAATCACTGGAAGAGTAGAGGAGAAATATAATCGTACATGAATTTTTATGAGATCCTTTAGGCTGTGGCATGGTGTACAGATTAAAAGAGGACAAGAATGGATAAGATCAATCAATTAGGTGGAGTGAGATGATGATAACAGGGGCAAATCCAGATTTTGTGGGACCTGAAGCTTGTATACAATTTGGTGGGGATGGCTCCTTAAGAAAAAGAATAACAATTATAAATACAAAATTTTTATACTAAGAAAAGAGATCACAATATTATAAACTTTTAAAAGTTGAAAAATATTACAAATAATGCAAAACTTTAAAATAACATAATATTTTTATTAATTAACTGTCAGGCACACGTCTCCATACATTTTCCTCCATATTTTATGGCTACATACTCTTTAATCATCTCTTCATATGACAATAGTTTGTATATTTTATATAGAGAGAATAGAAGTATAATTTAGTCTTTAGCACGGTTGATCAGTATTTGTTTTATATTATTGATAGTTAAGAAATTTGTTTTATCCTCATAGTTCGTTATTGGTTATATATATATATAGTGTTTTTGTCAAATTTCACAAAGCTCTAGCAAGTATCTTTATATGGGCATTTCAAATTTTCTTGCAGTTACTAATCTTATGTATTCTTTGAACCAAACACGCTCATTAGTCATCAGTGTGTGCATTGTAATCGTGTTCTCTGAATTTATGTAATCTTCATTGTTGTCAATTTGAGGTCAAATCAGAAAGAAATTTAAATATTTTTGAATGAGTTTATATGATTTGCTTCTCTGCACAGATTGATTGTCAAACCATCGAAGAGCCTATTTATTACTCTCATTTGCAATTTCTCTCTCTCTTTTAAAGAATAGCTGTTTTGTTATGATCTGAAAAAAAAATTTGTTACTATTCACTTCTCAATGTCAGGATAATTTCTCTTGATTTTCTCACTCATGTTCATCATTTTGGTTTCATATTTCACTAATTTTTTTATCTCAGTTTTATCTCTCTGCCTTAATAAAATAAATTTAAAGATAACAAAAGAAAGTATCTACTATACCCGTCCACATCAGGAGTCTGTAATTTATCACTTGCTTAACTGAAACGTTCCGAAATGTCTTTCTAAATTGCAGTTAAAATCTTATATTTGAGTTTTGTCAATTGTTGAATAAGTTTTTACATCTCATTTGTCTTTTGGTTTGTCTTCTCAGTGATTGAAAATACATTTTAGAGCACTTACATTTTCATTGAGACTATGTTGCAAGGTTTGAACACCTTTCTTTTTTTTCATTTAAAGATTGGTTCCTGAGCTAACATGTTGCCAATCTTCTTTTGTTTCCTTCCTCTCCCCAAAGCCCCCCAGGACATAGCTGTATATTCTGGTTGTGAGTGCCTCTGGTTGTGCTATGTGGGACGCCACCTCAGCATGGCCTGACGAGCTGTGCCATGTCTGCGCCCAGGATCCAAACTGGTGAAACCCTGGGCCACTGAAACCACTCAGCCACAGGCTGACCCCCTGAACACCTTTCTAATGCACCGACCATTTCGTTACACTTAGACTCATCAAGGAAGAATCCAAGTTGGCATATATGTTTAAAATACTCCATAGAGTAGTTGAGCCTGAAAATAAAACGCGCACCTGCTGCCCAGCATTGAAGTACTTAACAACCTCAGGTGCTTTGAGGCAGCCTTTCCTCTCACAAAATTAGGGTAATGAGTTGTGTGTGGCTCATGTCCCACAAAGTTGTTTCTAAAGAGCATGCAGCCCTTTGTCCTAATGATCATGATAGTTGTGCTGTCATATGACTGCTTGTAAATGTTGTTCAACCACAGGCTACAATCGCCCAAATCTTGTTTCATCTTGTTGAATAAAATCCCAGATAAATGTTTTCAGTTGAGTAAAAAAGCTAAAAATTGCTGGGGCCGGCCCCGTGGCCGAGTGGTTAAGTCTGTGCACTCCGCTGTGGTGGCCCAGGGTTTCTCTGGTTCGGATCCTGGGTGTGGACATGGCAACACTCATCAGGCCATGCTGAGCCAGCATCCCACGTAGCACAACTAGAGGTACCCACATCTAGAACACACGACTCTGTACTGGGGGCCTTTAGGGAGAAGAAGAAAAGAAAAAGAAGAAGATTGGCAACAGTTGTTAGCTCAGTGCCAATCTTTTAAAAAAAAAAGCTAAAAATTGCTAATAGGGTTTCCTGTTGGAAGAATAGTGTGCAATAATTGACAACTTGTCAGTGTTTGTCACATCCATTATAGAATGTATAATGTTATTTGATGTCTGGTTATGTATTATTTCACTTACCACTTTTTAAACACGTATTTTCCTATCATTTAAATTAATTTTGGGGGCCGGCCTGGTGGTGCAGCAGCTAAGTGCACATGTTCTGCTTCGTGGCCTGGGGTTCATCGGTTCGGATCCCCGGTGAGGACATGGCACTGCTTGGCATGCCATGCTGTGCTAGGTGTCCCACATATAAAGTAGAGGAAGATGGGCACAGATGTCAGCTCAGGGCCAGTCTTCCTCAGTGAAAAGAGGAGGATTGGCAGCAGTTAGCTCAGGGCTAATCTTCTTCTTCAAAAAATAATTTTTCATAAATTGTTTTGGTAAAATAAGTCATTTTCTTCATTTTTTCCAAGACCTTAAGCAAAAATGGATAAAATCCAGCTATTAGTTGAAAAATTCCCATGAAATTTCCGTCATAGGTACAACACGACTTTTCAGCATGACCTCTGAAGCATTAATATCTTTCACTTAAACATTTAATAACTTCAAGACCTCCACCTCTGACTATGATGGAGTAACAGGGCCAAACTAACCCTCTTAGAAACAACTAGAAAATGGAACAAAATATATATTTTCACACAATGGACAACAGTCAGTGCAGGACTACGATCCATGTGTGAATGGAAACAATTGTCCTAGTTTTCAGCCTGGAGGCACATTCTGAACCAAGGAGCCAGAAATGGATCCCGTGCAGAACAAAGATGTGTTGAGGGGACAGAGATTAAGGTTGGGGGAGGCTGAGATAGCCAGAAGTTGTGGGACAAAGTTCCAAAGAGGAGGAAGCTATGCGGATGGAAAGCTCCATAAATCTGCATAGATATCCTCTGAGACTTTGCTGAACATTAAGATGTGCATGCATAGGGTGAAGGCACCACAGGGTAAGTCAATGAATGCCCAAGGAGAGGTAGCAGTTCTCAGAGGAGTTAGAGATGTTTGAGATCCACCCAGCCGGAAGAGAAAGTGTTCCTTGATCACCAGGGGCGGTCAG